TGGGCGAGGCTGGCGCGGTGCCGAAGCGCTCCGGCCGGGGAGCGGAGACACGGCGCTCGGGCGGCGGGACGGGCTCGGCACTGCCGGGGAGAGGCGGCCCCAGCCTGCTGTCCGGACGGGGCGGCCCGGAGCCCGCAGGCGTGGGTGTGTGACAGACAGAAATAGTTTGTGCCCGGGCAGCGAGGCACAGACGGGCGAGAGGGAGGCGGGTGCCTGCGGGGCACCGCATCTTGTGTGTATTCTGCAGGGTCACAGTGGGTCCAGAACAGCCCCGAGGGACCGAACCCTCCATAAACTCATCCGGGTCAAGCACCTTTCTCAACACCATCTCTTACTAGTTCAGCAGCAGCAGAAAACACGGTGTTGTTACATCAGCGTAGACCTGTGCGAGTGTAGTTACTTAAGGTGTAGCTTTAGGATTAATTTCGAGTGAACAAACTTAATTCCGTCCAAAAGATCAAACTCCTTCTTTGAAGACGTGAATCCCTAAATAAGAAACTGTTCCATTCAAGGGAAGTGGAACAAAATTTTGAACAGCTACGAAAATACATTAAAGGTTTATTTTCACTATGAATATGTATAAGACTTTTCTCTATTAATTTGTTACACTGACAGGACATCCCTTACAATCTCATAACTTCAGATTATTACATGAAAGCTACTCTGGCCAAGTTCCCCATGCCAGGTTTGAAGCCTCACAGTATCTTTCTCAATGCTGCATGCAAGCAGTAAGAGTTGAGTGCAAACCCTGTGCTGTCAAACTAATTTTAAAACTGTATCCACCACACTCTCTTTGAATAGTCACTGAGAGTGACGATTGACATGAGCGTGGATGGAACTAAAATCCTGTGTATTGGCAGATGACCTGTAGGATTATGTCCTGTATCATCCCTGAGAGGTAAAAACTTGATTAATTTCTTGGTAGCTCGTTTGTTTTAATTTGTTATCTGTAACAGTGTAATTAATAATTCCTATTTGCCACAATAAAAATTATATATAAAGCCATATATTGTATGAAAGTATCTGGATTTTAAATTTAGTCACTGAGTGAGCAGAGGTTGCTGTGGTTCAAAGTGTGTATTCTGACAGCAGGGTGACTGAAATCTAATACTGAACATAATATCCAATATATTCCACCAGTCAATTTACATTTTTTGCATACATATGAGTGTGTCATTGTAGCTAATTTACATGCCTTTTAAAGCTAACCCTTGCCTTTTGTTACAGCAAAGTTCTAACGGCCCGGTGAAGAAGTCTATGCGAGAGAAGGCTGTGGAACGCAGGAATGTTAATAAGGAGCACAACAGTAACTTCAAAGCAGGATATATTCCAATTGATGAAGACCGTCTCCATAAGACAGGGTTACGTGGCAGGAAAGGCAATTTGGCCATATGTGTGATTGTTGTTCTTTTTATTTTGGCCGTCATCAATCTGATAGTGAGTATAATAGCTATAGTGTAAGCAACATTAGGTCATATTTCATTCTGACAGTTCAGTAAAAAAAATAAAACTTTTCCAGTATGGCTGAGGACATAAAATGTATTGAAGGAGAGCCTCTTTTTTCTCCTTTCTTTTTAGTTCTTTTGTAGTCTGAGTAAGATTAGATGGAAGAATGGTATAAATTCAGGCATGGTTATTTTGGTTACCATGGTCACCCCATGAGAGTTATTAGTACATACACATTCAGGAAATATGGCATATAAAACATGGTTATATTTTACATTACAGAGCTGTATGTGAACACTCAGAATTAACCAGACACTGCACTTTAAAGCTTCATTGTTCTAATAGCCACATTTTTATTGCTTGGTCAATGGGAGTTAAATTATTTTTCATCGTTGCACATCCATGTGTGAGGATGCATTCTTGCAGTTCAGCTTTAAGTATATACCAAGCTGGACTGTTCAGAAAATTTATTTAGTCAATGATTAACCTTAAACAGAAAAAAGATGTAATTATGGATGTGATTTAACATTTTCTACATATATATATAAATAATTTTAGTTACTGTTTCAAGTAAGTCTAAAAATAATTTAAAATGCTTTTTATAATTAAATGTGTTATGATGTTTTCAGTAGGATTAGACTAAAGTAAATTCACTCTTAAAGCTTATTTAAACCCTGGCATTAATAATTGTTCAAATAAAACATCTAATTAATACAATAATTGCAGTAGGAAGATGCAAACGATCAACATAATTGTTGAAAATGTGTGTCTCTTTCAGATTACCCTGGTTATCTGGGCAGTGATAAGAATTGGTCCCAATGGTTGTGACAGTATGGAATTCCACGAGAGTGGCTTGCTGCGGTTTAAGCAAGTGTCTGACATGGGTGTTATACATCCCTTATATAAAAGCACAGTAGGAGGGAGACGGAATGAAGACTTGGTGATCACTGGGAATAATCAGCCTGTAAGTTATACCATGAGTTGAATGTTTGTGAGCAACACTAGAGAATTACACTCACATTGCTAATAAATGTTGCATTTGAAACATCATTAAGTTCATGGCTTTGTTTCTGAAGATTGTATTTCAGCAAGGAACGACCAAGCTTAGCGTGGAAAAAGACAGAACTTCTATTACCAGCGATATTGGCATGGAATTTGTTGACCCACGAACACAAAATACTTTGTTCAGCACCGACTATGAAACTCATGAGTTTCATCTGCCAAATGGAGTTAAAATCTTGAATGTACAAAAGGCCTCTACAGAGAGGGTATGTCTCTTTTCTTTTTTGTTAGTAATAAGAATACAGCCCATTGTTTGTTTGGGTAACAGTAGAGTAGAGTTAATGTTTTTATAGAGGGTTGCGTGTGCCTTTGGAAGCACTGAGCAATCCTGTTGAAGAAAATACACCCACAACTAAAAATACGTAAGAGGAACAGATTAAGTGAAAACAGAGGAGTAAATTTACATAATCTCTCTTAATATGAAGTCTGTATTTGGTACAAGTGTTAGCTGCATATCTCATAAAATTGTCATATGAATTATATTATTTTTATACAAAAAATTAAATTTACATACCTTCCAAAATTCAGTAATCTTGTTTTGAAATTGAACATGAAAAATAATAAATATGCAGAAGCTAATGGCAGAAGTGCAAGAAGTACATTCAAGTTTTTTATTAAATTGCACAGCACTACTTTTAAGGTAATTAAAGTTACTGAGACATACACAAGTGGCACATTTTCCCTAATCTGTAATACAGTTCTTTTGATTATGTTCTTAGATTACCAGCAATGCAACCAGTGATCTAAACATAAAGGTTGATGGTCGTGCCATTGTCCGGGGTAATGAAGGTGTTTTCATCACGGGCAAGACAATTGAGTTTAGAATGGGTGGAAACATGGAACTAAAAGCAGTAAGTATTTCAAATCAAAGCAATTTTTTTAACAGCTTAGTTTCAAATTTAGGCTGATAGTAAACTGATGTAGCTTTATATAGTTCCAAATTTTATATAAATTGCTCATGCATGAAAGTCAGTATATTTAGTAGGATTTAAATTGATGGTTTATTACTTTTCTGTTAAGCAGTGGTTGAGTAGCTTCAGGTAACACTGATTTACTACTGTTTCTTAAGACATTGAAAACCTACTGTGCAGTTAAAGCTAAGCTATTTGCCTCTGTACTGACATGAATACCAAAGGGAGTTAATCTCCTCTGGTAGGTGACAACCTCTGCCAGAAGAGCAGAGCATATAGTTTGGAGCATTACCTTCTGTGCTGCTGCTGTAAGACTCACTAGCATTCCTTTAAGATTTTTGGAGACTAAGATGGCAGTATATATGGAATTACAAAAAAGAAGGATAAAAATAAAGGTATATGCACTTTTAAGTGTGAATGAATTTCATGCATGAATTCAAACACTGTTTCCTGTTTCATGTCTATAGATTTTACATTTACTGCATTTGCTAATAAGAATGTAAAGTGAAAAGTCACCTTACTGCTGTCTTTCTCAATACTGATCCACCACTGGAATAGTTAAGTATAGTTAAGCTGACTATAGTCAAGAAATCTATAGGTATTGCTATAACTTTCATTAAAAAATTAGACATTTGTATATACACCTTTTTGTCTTATTCTTGATTCTACAGCTATCCTAGAGATGATATTTATCCATTAAACCAGCCTGTCCTTCTCAAAAACAATCTGCCTTACTTATATTAGAAGCTGTAATTTTACAACTTTTTTTTTTTTTTTTTTTTTCTCTCCTTAATAGGAAAACAGCATCATCCTGAACGGAACTGTGATGGTTAGCCCGTCACGACTGCCAAGTTCCTCTTACGGGGAGCAGTTCAATAATGGCAACTGGCTGCGCTTCAAGCTCTGCATGTGTGCGGACGGGACGCTGTTCAAGGTCCAGGTGACAGGGCATAACATGGGCTGTCAGACCTCAGTCAACCCGTGTGGAGCCACGCACTAAAACAAACTGCTGCTGGGACACGTCTCGTTTGTGTTTACATGTATTTGTATGAAGTAATTGCATGCCTTCAAGGGTTTCTTTTTCTACAGCAGTTTATACTAACATTTCTTACATAGTATTTTTAAGAAAAGGCTGTTACGGTCAGCAGTATTAGGTCAGCATCCTGTTAGCTGCAATAGTGGCACTGAATCTGTAAGCTTTCAGTGTACATGCATATTGAAGTACCTTCTCAAATTGGGATCAGTAGAATATATGTAAAGAACATGATCTTGGCAACAAGTCTACTGCCTACAGTTCTCACTAGAGATTTTTGTCCTATGTCCCAAGACCTTGAAGACTGCTGAAAACACAGCTGCAGTCTGAAGTACTTCAACAGGAATGTCAACTTTTTGTTGGAAATAGATTTTCCTAGGACGGCTGAAGTGGCAGACCTTTCTTGTTGATACATTGATCTACCCCAAACTTAGGTGGTTTACAAGATGTGTACTGAGAGGGGTAATGGCAGATTCACTTTAAAATACCACATTATTTCTGCCATGTTGTTAAAAAGTTGTGCTATCATAAATCATATTTGCGATGTAATACTGAGTATGGAAACATAACCTGAATTTTGAAGTAGTCTTGCGGTTATTGAAGTGTTGCTTGAACTTCTATTCTGTCTGTGCAGTTAATGCATTCTGCAGTTGCTTAATTTATGTGAAGTACTTATAAAATGTATTTATATTAGAAGTACATTTTTAAAGATGTACTTACAACTTGCTTACTACCCAAAAATAGTGTTTTCCTGGGTGCTCTGTGAACAGTGTCTGAGTCCCTTACTTGACAGGTAATAATCTCAGCATAACTGTTGCAGAAGCGTCTGTGGTCAGATCTCCCCTTCCCCATAAAAGTCAGTACTGATGCATTACTGAGAACATCAGAATTAAATTCTGAAGTTAAACTGCAGGTAATTCTAAATGTGATGGTAGGACATCAGGGTAAATACATGTGTATCAGAATTTGTCAACAGTGAAACTACGGTGAACTGGGGCTTATTACTGTCTTCCAACTGCTTTTGCAGCAGTGATGTGTGGTTTCTGCTAAAAATAGACCAGCTATTTATAAGATTCCTTCTTTCCCCACCCCATGTATTTCTTCAGTTTAAAATAGCTTTGTTTTGCAGAAGCATCAAGTAACCTTAATATTGGAGGTCTCAAAGTGACTTTAAAACAGCTTTTTGACAAGTTTCTTGATAAGCACACACTTCTTTACCTAAAAGTTGTACGGGTTTTATACATTAACTTCAGAACTGATTATTTATTACAGAAGGTAAACTATCTATCCTTGTTTTACAGCGCTCAAAGTACATAGGATTCCATAAAATACATATCAGCTCCTGCTGCAACAAGAAATTCATATCTAAGGTCCCAAATTCTGAACTTAGTGGAAGGCTGTAAGCACTCATGCAGAATGTGTAGGGGTGGAAGTGATTTTTGGAGGGATATTCATTTGTAAGTCAGGCATTACAGCACATGGGGGAGGGTAGATCAGAGGAGTCATATTTCCCTCACTGCTCAAAGGCAAAGACAGATTTTGATGTTTAGCAGTTGTTGGGGTTTTGGGGCTGGACAGCAGTGGAGCTGTTCTGACAAAATCAGAATAAGCAGAATATAATGTAGCAAAAAGCATTGAGTTGTCACATTAAAGATTATGGGGAAGTACTAAAATTTTGCATACTACCTTCATGGACCTCATAGTTTTATCAGAATTAATAGTTAATAAACACTAACACACATTTTGCTGCTTTACACCTATCTTTGCTGCTAAGCAGTGCCTCAATTAGTATCTGTTAAAGTTAAAAGGAGGAAATAAATTAACATTTTTAGAATTTTCACTCCCATGCAAATGGAAGTTTGTCACTTTATGTATACAAATGCAAACACATTAAAAATATAAAGAGCAGTATCCTCTGAGTTGAAGTACATTTTGAAAATGTCTTCATCAAGTAGTTTACACACATATTAAAGCTCTTCTCTGATTAATACTGACATGCCTATATTCTAGTATTGGATTCTTGTAATTATCAAGAGTTCATCTTAAAATACTGTGTGCAATGTATGGCTGAAAGATTTGTCAGAAAGGTACTCTTAAATCATGATCTGCAGAACTGTTTATGAAGTATGGATTTTTTTGTCAAAATGTAGCAAAACCAATAATAAAAATACCAAATGAAATAATTTATCTAATTTGCTAGCCACTATGTATTGTTAATGTTTTATATTAAACAGTTTGAGAAACGTTGGCACCACACATGCCTTCTGTTGAGCATTTACTTGTTTATCTTCTAACTGCCTACGGTACATTTATCTATATGTTTTTAAAACACTGAGTGGAACACTGTTTATTTCAGTCCCACAGATGCACTTAAGATTCTGTGTGTATAAAGTGCACTCTACATGCCTCTGTAAAATGCCATACTGGGTACACTGAAACAACCTGCATGTGAAGAGCTCTCACCATCTGTAAATGTGGTGGTTGTTCCAATGGGTGAAAGGTAGTAGAATTTCAAATGTTTGTTTTGAAATAAAACAATAAATTCTAAAATGCAGCTGGAGTTCAGAAGTGTTATTTGTAGGAATATAGCTTTTCATTAAAAAGACATTGTTGTTTTATTGATATGGAAACTAGAAGTATAAAAATGTTCCACACCTGTTTGTCATAGATTTTATGTGGTGGACTTTGCTCAGTGTAACTGTGTGCAGTACCTGAAGCAGAGTTCAAAAGTCTCCACTGTTGCTAGAACTCAAGCTCCCAAGAAGCTGTGTTTCTCGACCAAAAGGCTGGAAAAGAAAAAAAAGGTCCTAATTGTTTTTTGGGATAGATGATGGGGAGGGGTGAGATTACCAGTTTATGAATGTTCTTTTTGAAAGTAATTAAGACTCCAAAACTGAGTGTTTAAGGCAGAATGTTGGTAATGCTGTGGTTATTTGGTGTTGACTTTTTTTTAATATCAAAATATTTTTGCTTTCTATTCTTGTTGTGCTGAATTTAACCATAATTTAACATTTTATACATAGATACTATGGATAACCTTCACTTGCATGTCATAGCTGTGGTCCTTTACTTTAATCTTCCTGGATCAGTGGGAACCAAGTCACAGCGGATTCTTCCAGCTACACATCAACGTTCAGAGTGCCGGTGGGATGGGCATTTCTTACTGAATTGCTCTTTTACCAGAATATCTACTATTCCAGAAGATGTATCACAAATAGCAGGAACAGCTGATTTGAGTAACAATAATATTAAAACTTTTGTGTGCTCTGATGGAAGAAATGAAGAGTGGATGCTAAAACACCTGAACCTCAGTAACAACTTGATTTCTGAACTCACTTTAACTACTTGTACAAATTTACCCATTTTAGAAACTCTAAACCTCAGTGGTAATGCCATCCACACCATCACACTGGACATACCTACACCTGCACATGAGTCTAAAAAGTACAGCATTGTTGATCTCCTGCCTGCTTTGAAAGTATTGTCAGTTGAAAGAAATAATCTTAATACAGTTCCAAGAGGTAAGCATTTAAAAAATCTTTAAGGACTTGACTGCCAAGGGGTCGGTTGGCTTTGGATATAATTCATACATCTTACTGAATCCAGAATGTGACTTTCTCATTTTATTATACTTAAGGTGAGGGAAAGTTCCACCAGCAAATACAGAGGCGGAAGTAAATTGGTTAGTTGTTTACTTTGTTACGTTTTTTTAATAGAGTCTTAGCAACTGAACTGCGTTAACAGCAGTCAAATAGAACTTATAATTAAGAGCCCAAGCAGTATTCTTGCTTGTTGTATAGGAAGAGGGAGTAAGGATCTTTAGAACACCAGCTTCCACATCCCAGTCGTGAACCTTAAGGTCAAAAAAATGACAGATCATGAATTTCATACTACCCTTCAGAAGGAAGTCATCGCTCTTAAATAAAACTTGCTGCAGTTTCAGTATTTCAGAGACAGGAAAATACACTTTGATCATTCCAAACAATTTTGTTCTGTTCTATTTAATACTCAATTAGAGTGACACCTTGGTGTATCAGGAGAGGGCTGTAGGGTTTAGCCTTTTGAGAAAGGCTTTGCTGGTCACTGAACTATGCTGGGCAGCTTAGCCTTTATCCAGGGATGATTCACAACAGCCAACTGCTTTAAATGAAGCAGAAGCCAACCTATCCTATACAATACATTGAATTTATTGATGTCTGATAACACCATCAGATTCATTAGAGTTTGAAAATACAGGAGAACAAGTGATTACAAACAGAAATACCACTTATCCCACCAAGTCACACAAAGATATTTGCCCCTACATAGAGTCATGAAAGTTCTGTTTTATTCCTTTTATGCTTTTAAATAAGTCCCTGGCACATTTAATGATTTTGTCTGTATAGACAAGGTATCTATAGACAGTATAGAAAAGCTTACATTATAAAATATATCAATGGAGATTTGATTTGTTTTGATAGATAAATATGACTGTCCGTTATAGGATGCCTCCAAGGGTCAGACTGATCAATCTTCTTGTATAAGAGACTCGATTTTTAAAGTTCAAATTCCTGTGCATCATACCACCTTACTTCAAGTTATACTTAAATTGTATATTCATTTAAACAAGTTCAGAACCTTATTCTTATCCAAAATACTTCACTAAAATTCTGAGGCTTAAGCTCTGGAAAGAAAACACAAACTGCATTTCTATAGCAGAGGTTTCCCACAGAGAAACCCATCTGCCAGCTCCCCCCCAGGAGTAAGGCTGCTGCCCACTCCTGCCATACCAGTGTATATTTTTGCACAAACTTAAATTCAGGGAAGTAATCACAGTATAATTCCTCATGCAGCTGCACTGATGAATTTATGAATTGTCAGAACTTCTGTATGCTTTTCCTATCACCTACCTCTAGTTTTATACTAGAAATGAATCATTCCCTCTGCTTTTCACAGTAAGCCCAAAGATCAATTACTCAGCAAACAACTGCTGGTTGAGAGAAGAGGTTTCTGGTAAACAAGATGACACCAAGGGCAAAATTTTTAAGTAACTAGTACCTTCTCAACAATTGTGTATGATCAAAAATCACTTTAAAGTGACATTGTGCTGTTGAACACACAGCATCAGTGGGGATGCAGAGTGTTCAAGTGCCTCCCTTTCCACTGGACCTTGCAGGCTGGAGCTTCAGGGGCTGCCTTCACAGCACCTCAAAAAAATGAGGTGCCTCCAGCAGTCAGAAGTCTTCCTTATGTCAGGTGGATTTTATTGTAATTAGGATACACTGAAGAATACACTGTTAGGCTTCATAATTCACAAGCAGATAGGTATAAGCAACAACATGGTTTTGTTTTAATTTGGTTTTACATCCTATGAATACAGTTCAAATAATTCCACATACGAAAAACTCCCATGAAACTGCCCATGCAAATGCATAGGAGATACTATATCAACTTTTGCATCTCTATCTTCTACTTAAAATTGACATATTTAGATCTTGTCAACTCAATATATTCCACCCTTTTCACACCCCTTTCCTACCTCCAGTTCTCCAGAGAAGCTTGCTCAAAGTACAGAGATCTCAGTCAGAATAATTTTGATAGTACAAAGAAATGGTAGTGCTTTTATGATAGTGTCAGTTTTTAAGACATTCATTGACTGTGAATGTTTTAATATGCCAGCTGTTGATGCTATGCAGCTTTCAGAATGGGACAACCCCTAACGAGGAAAGGCATAGCACAAAGGCTGCAGCCACTCATTGCAATAGTGAGGAGCTGAAGGTTATTTTGTTGCAAAAAATTTTATAAAGACACTTGATGTAACTGGGAAAACAAGAATATGAAATGTAAAATAGGTTTTTTTCTTCCTAGGACTAGGCCTCCTGCAGTCTTTACAAACTGTCCATATGTCATTCAATGCCATACAACAGATTGATCCAAAGGATTTTCAAAACTGTTCACAGCTGAAGGACATTGACCTGCGAAACAACAAGATAACTAAAATTCATCCAGATGCCTTCAGAGATCTCAATAAATTACAGGTTGGAAAGCAATACATCTGTTCCAATTTTTTATGTTAATCATTAAAGATATTATTTACCAACTATTCAGCATGATTATATGGTTCTGATTATAATACTAGTGTACAATTAAGAAACTAGAGTAAATGGTGAAAATATTTTTTATGTAGGAAAACACATACTAAAATGTACAAGATATAACCACAAATTCAGTTTATGTATGCCACAAACCAACCCATAACTGCCTTAAACACATACATGTCCCTTTCTACCCCCATCCCTTCCATGGCAAGAGCCCTGCAGCTCCCTATTGACAAAAGAGCTAAGTCTATAACGGGAGAATTCTAAATAGCACAATTTAAACTTTTCATCTACATTAAAAAGCTTCTATCAACATTACTGAAATCCTAAGCAGATGTATTGTTCACAGAACTACATTAGTGCTTGTACACTAAAACACTGCTGTAAGATGTTGCACTAAGAACTCCATTGTAAGCCTTACCAAATTAATTCTGTATTATTTCCAAATAGGTTGTGGATCTCCGTGAAAATGCTCTGACAATCCCTCTACCACAGATACTAGTCAGTTTAAACTTTTTTCAACTTGATGTGTATTTTTCAAAGAATGCCTGGCTATTTAACTGCAGGCTAAATGCTTTTAAACATTTATTTAATTTTGTCTTTGACTCCACAAGGAAAAAATGGAGCCTTTCATATAGTAAGTCTGACAAGAACTCGCACAAACCTCTGCTGTATCTTTCAAGTTTCCATTTAAAATGCAAGGACAATGTTTTGCTCAAAAAGGCCACAGTCCCAACGGGTAACACATCAGTGCTGACCTGTAACTTGGACAACATAAGGGGTATGTACATCAGGCACTCCATCCAAATGCTGCTAAAATCCAAATGAATGCAAAATGATCATATAAATCTGGTTTTAAAAGTGTATTTCTAAAGACACTGTTTAAAAATAACTGAATAACAATTTAACAGGCAGAAATATTTCATTAGGAAGTAGCATTCAGCTTAGAATATTTGAAAGTTAGGTTTCCTGAGTCATCCTCTTCCTTACGTTACAGGAAGTGATGCCAAATTATATACAAATAAGTTTCAGTAAGTAATGCATTGCAAATGCATTGGTTCATTCTGGACTGAGACAAAGGACCAAATAGTGGGGTGGAACTTCTGAGGCATGTAGAAAGCCAAGAAGGATGTAATAGTTTCCAATATTCAGTTACAGTGAAATGAAAAGAAGGTTTATTTGCAGGGAAAAAGATTTCCATTTCTTCCAAAAGAGTACAGCTACTGTAGCACACACTTCACTTACATTAAAAATTAATAGATAACATGAAGAGTATAAGCAAAAAAACCTATAGAGGCAAGACTTGCCACGCAGACACGACCAAACTTAGAGCAGAAGCTGTATTTGTCATGTGCCATAAGGAAAAATGGTTTAACTCTAATGGACTAATAGCACTTGGAGGGTAAGGCTTTGCCCTAGGAATACTTCATCCCCAAATTAAAATATGCAGGACCTATCAGAAATGCCACCTGCCTTGTCTGTTTACCAGAAAAGTCACAGAAACCTGGATTGAAATCAACACACTGTATTGCAGGAAAACTCGTCTTGGAACAAAAGCTGATCCAAAGACAAAACCAAAAATATGACCTTGAAACCAATTGCTAAAAGCCAACAATCAGTCATGGCCCACACTAGCTCAAGTTTGGAACAATTACTCAGTCTGTACAAATACCCTTGATTTACAGAATTTTTTTCTGCAGTCAGACCAGCAACTACAGGAAAATCACAGTGGTTGAAACACAGAGTTAGGAGGTGATGTTTTATCCCAAAGCTGCACACAGTGACCATGGCCAGGCTGCAGAGCAGCTGGCTGTAGACATGTCTCTTCTACAAGGAAGATCAGCAGGTGTTTCTAGCACAACCCTGAACTTGCTTAAATTATTTCAGTGACCTCCTCCCTCACATTATGATTTTTCTTGTAAAGCCTGCAATTAAGACCCCACATATACTGTGTTTTTAGACGGGAGGCAGTAGGGACAGGCTAATATGGTTTAACAGACTTTGTACCATGTAAAATTATTGTGATGGATAAAAGGAAAATGGGGTTAATAATAAACAGTTAAAATTATGAGAGACAGTCCAGAGTATATTCTTAAAAACATCACTGGACCCTGCAAACAAATACTATGCTTTTAAAACAGACTGAGTTTGTATTTTCTTTCATTTCAGGCAATGGAGTCTCTTGGTGGACACCTAAGGGCAGAATTTCAAAAAATCACAGTCTTCCTCATATGACACTGGATGAAATGAATAATTTAGTGATATACAATGCTAAGAAAACTGCTGAAGGATTATATTTGTGTCTTTTTAATACAACAAAAGAGAAATATCTCATTTACAATATAGAGGTGAAAGAAGGAGTTTCAGCATTTTTGTTTAGAAAAGCCAGAGACACTAACACTGTTTTTAGACAGAAAGAAACAGAGCCAAACTTCGCACTGGCTGTCTCCCTCTCTGTGCTCATTACATTTGTTTGTGCTTTTTGTCTGGGTGCTTTTGCTAGACCCTACCTGGAGAGCCTGTGGAGACTCATGCACAGGAACAAAAATTCAGGTTCAGAATGCACGTATTCTAATCAAGCTTTTTCAGATGAAACCTTTGACAGAGAGACTTCTGCAAGCAAGCCAACAAATACACAGTGTAATACATTATTTTGTGATAAGAACTCTTTAAGAAACACACAGATTTTTCCTACACAAACTTCTACTGTGTATGAAAACATCACTGGCAGTGGTGTTCATTCACCAAATCCCAAAGCAGAGTACCAGAAACAAAGCAATACTAAGATCAACACGAAGAAAATACCAGTATTTTCAAAGGTCCGATCTAGTATTGACAATAATGAAAGTATAAATGTTTATGATACTGGACTATTTTATGTAAGGACAGATTGCCAGAACATCAATGAAATAACATCAAACAGCAAAGTAAGAAACAACTCGGGTCTGCTGCAGTCTGAGATCAGAAAACCTACACCAGATTCTCCAGAAAGAAAAGGTATTGTTTCACATAATGAACACAGGCACACTACAAAATTTATGCACCGAAGGCAAAGCTGTGAAGAACAACTTGGTCTAAATAGCAACAGAAATAAACCTAGTGATGTTGGAGATTTTATTTCACCCACCAGCTCAAGAAGAGATGCAGATATTGAGAATTTTAGCATCTATGAAACAATAGAAAAATCTCCCCTTACAGAGCATTACTGTAAAAGGATACATTCAGATGAAAAAGATGCTTTAGCTGATATATTTGGTGACATTTCCTCAACTGAAGGGTCTCCATTCACAATGAGTGACTGTAGTTCTTTAGCAGACTTTGAACTGGAACAACCTGGTGTTAGTGACAACCTGCCAGTCTATCAATCATCGCTAGATGAAGCCAATACAGACAGTGGAACTGAGAAGTTCGTAACACCACCAGAGTCTCCAGACATTACTGCTGAACTTCAGCAGATTTGGGAAAACAAAGATAAGAACAGTACCTATTTTGAAACCACTATTAATTATGGATCAGATGCAACTATGCGTGAAACAGCATCCCCTTACTCTGATAAATGCAGTGGCCACGTAAGTGTATCAGGTCTAGATACAGTTAGTTCTTCAAGTCAAGAAATTCCAAATACATTTGATTATATTACTAATGCAGAGTCAACAGTACAAAACTCTATTTCTGATTCTCTACACAGTCAAAGTACAGATTTTAGTAACACAGTAGTTAAGTTAAAACATTTTCCCACATATGACACAGAGAAAACTTCTGAAGAGGATGAACTGCAGCTGTCTTTGCTTCCCAGAGAACCACAGCATTCCCTCAGCTCCAGTCACACAGAACAAAAAGAAAATGCACCAGCAGGAAGTACAGATGAGAATATAGCCAGGAACTCCCCTGAAAAGAATCATGATGAAGCAGACATTACATTAAGAAGAAACGTGAGCACATCTGAGGACAATGGCTTTATTTTTGCTCCCATTGATACTGGCTTGAATGAAATTGTAAAAGAACCATCACTGCTGCATTCCAGCAAAGAATCATCTCTTCAACTGCTGCCTGAACAGACAGCTGAAGAACATTCCATGTTTATTACACAGCAAGATGACTTGATACCACAGGAGAAGCAGGCTTGTGGAGATAAAATACAAGGAGGTTCTGATGAGAAAAATTCTGATGGATTCACAGAATTACCAGATACCAGCAATTGCAGTCTGCCTGAAGAAACGCAGTCTTGTAATTCTACTGCAGTTCTGCTACATCTTCAAAGTTCTGGGAAAACACAGTCAGAATTCACAACAGATGATTGCTTCCAACTGGATCAGAGTGATGAGGATGAATATTCCTTCTCAATCCCACAAGGTTTCTTCAATGAAAGCGCAACATACAGTTCATGTTCCTTCCCACAAAAGCCTACAGGAAATACAACCTCTGAAAGCACTGATTCCACCAAGATGAAGGATCATACTACTTTAACAGACCTGGAGAACCATTCTGCAACAACTGTAGAACACCTCCAAAATTCCAGTGTAAATCTCAGCCAAAAAAGTCAGAGAAATTCAGGACAGGACCAGTTTTTTGTTAAGAAGAAAAGAGCATTTGATGGATTTGCTAATATTTTGCAAAGCAGGAGAACAAACTTCAATAGTTGAAACACAAAATAATAATCCTAAGTTCCCACAGTGTGTAATGTCATTACAGCAGGTGCAAACACTATTTTGTCTTAAAGTGAAATTATTTTTGTTTAGAAGGGTACTCATAAAAAACACAGTAACTTTATAAAAGACTTTATAAAAAGTTAATCCACAATATTAATAAAGCTTTTGCTGAATTATATTTACTTCCTCATTATTGGTAGTTGATACCAATATATCATTTCCCTTGGAATTTGCTTCAGATACTCACTGTTTTGTCTTTTTGTGTAATAAAATAAATGCAACATGGAAATTTACATTATTACTGTGTTTTCTTATGGGACTCAACCTATACAGTGAAATAGTACATACTACTGTCTTCTGCTTTTTGAACCAGATTTATGCATTATCTCTGAATTCCCGGTGTTGCAAAGATAAATAAAGTCCAAGCAGTATTCAATTACATTTCAAAAATTACTTTTTTACTTGGCAAAAGAGAGAAAACAAGCTTCCACAGAGAAACAGAATATAATTCAATTCTTGCAGAAACATCATTTATAGAAATGTAGCTATAATGGGACATCACCCAAAGTTTGCAGACGTGGTGACACTGACAGAGTAATTTAAAAAAAGACAAAGGATCCTATACACACTTGAGAATTTTACTTATGAGGGGAAAATTAAAAGCAGTTCAGAACTGCTATTTTAGAACATTAGCAGCCAAAAGATAGCAAATGTAAGATAAAATTACCTCTGAATATAGCCCAAGACCCTTTCAACTGACTCAGTACCACTGATGCAGTCCTTGAAGGGAAAAGTCATCATGAAAGGGAGCAGATCCAGTTCTGGGAAAATGTGGGAAGTTGGCTACAACTCTGGGAAAACTCTTTCATGAAGACACAATTAACTCCTAAAAACTCCAAACAGAAGGAACACATTTCAATTCCATCACAAGAGGAGCAAGTTCAATGGCACACTACATCACTGAAACTACCTTTAAAGACAAGACTAAGAACAAAGAGCTACTGCCACCTTTCAGTAAAGCTCATTATCCACACCAGTTCCTTGTGGCCAAAACTTTAAAAATGCAATGCCTGAAAAAAAGCACCGACTTGCTCTTTTTGATATATTCAGGTCTTCAAACATCACTAACATGTCTCCAAGGTCTGTACCTATTGGCTGTTGCACCTGCTAACATGTTAAGAAATCTAGTTGTACAAGGCATGGCAATTTTGTGAATCATGGGAAAAAAGCCCACTCAAGTGCTCTGTTGATATCTCATACACTGAAATGTTTTGCCATTTGCTTGTTCAACAGTCCAATAGGATTTCAAAATACATATATTGGGAAATTATTTTCTCCTTTTTTTTTCCTGAATGCTGCAGTGGTGAGGGCAGACTACACCACTTGTGAGAAGCTGCAAGATTTCCACAATTTCCTTTATGCCATAAAGTTGTGGAAAAGTTTCTGTTCTTGTCAAAGTAAATTTGCTCCTTTATAGTGGGACTTTAACATGTGGCAAAGTACTCGTTCTACTGTCAAAATATTGTGTTTCATCTCAAACTTATCTTTGTATTTCTGCCTAATTTTGCCACTGTCCTTTGCTACTCATCTCTCCATTCTTATAATCACATCTTCACTCATATCCACTCAGCTGCTTCTCCTTCATATTAATTCATTTCATTAGCAAGTGCTCTTTAATACAAAACCTCTGCATCTTCTGTGACTTCCACATAGTACTCATCATACTCTGCTCCTCCCTACCCACCCCATGTTAACACGCCCTTCTGTATACAATTACAGTCCCACACACACTGACCCCAAGACTGCATCCTCACTTTTCTTTACGTTTCATCCACTGCATCTTGTTCACATTAACTGATTTAGCTTATTTGGCCACTGAGAATTTTCTAGGACACATACATTAGGAGGAAGCCCACTGTTGTTACTATACCAGTTGACTGTGGGAAATCAGACAAAGTCACAGAATAAGCTCAGTTAAAAAGGTGCCTGAGTGTATGCTGTATGAATTTGTAAATGAAGCATGAGGAATCAGCCAGGAGGATGCTGACAATACCTGTGAGACTCCCATCTCACATGGCCTGCCGAGCTCCACAATCAACAGGACACAGAATCCCTCACACAGTGTGAATCAGGACAGGAAAAAATAGAGAAGTTTCAAGAGCAGATCAAGAACTTCAAATACAGCAATCAGAATAAAACAAACTCTCGTTTTCAAACACATAATGGCTTGATAATTGAGTTATTTGCTGTAGATATAAAGCATTTCAATCTTGTCTTAATATGCTTAAGTTTGGGCTGGAAAATAACCCTGAAATATGAGAAGACATACACGTTTAACCTACCCATAACCAACAAAAGAAACTTTTTTGGATAGTAGGAGTAAATGTTTCATGGTAGGTAAGACTGTGACTCACCCCCTCTGATAAATACAGATAAGCAACAGCCTACATTCTGAGAACTGGCAAAGCCAATCCCAGCCATCATCAGAAACATAAATGCAATGAAAAACTTCTTCCAGATGGGTTTTGTATTACAATATTCTAATTGCAATGTAAATACATTCACGATCCTGATCAAGCAGGGCCACTGAGAGCCAGTTGCCCAGGACCATGTTCAGATGGCTTCTGAGTATCTCTGAGGATAGTCTCAGTAACAGTGCATGGCAACTCAGAAAAAGAGAGCAGTCTCTGATGTTCAGATGTAGCCTCCTGTGTTTCAGTTTATGCCCACTGCCTCTGGTCCTATCACTGGCTAAAGAGTCTTTGTCCTCTTTACACAACCTCCCATCAGATATTTAAATACTTTAGTAAGACTTCCCACAGCACCTTCTCTTCTCCTAAAGGCTAAACAGCTGTAAGCCTTTCCTCATAGGAGAGAAGTTCCCATCCCTTCATTATCTTCACAGCCCTTTACTGGACCCTCTCGAGAATGTCACAATTATCTCTGGTACTGGGAAGCCCAGAACTGGACGCAGTATCAGGTGTGGTCTCACCAGTGCTGTGTACTCAGCCTGCTGGCAATACTTTGAACCAGACCAGGAAACACTCACCTTCTTCACAGCAAGGACTTGTTGCTGGCTCATCTCCAACTTGGTGTCCCACCAGGACCCCCAGTCCCTTTTCTGCCAAGCTGCTTTCCATCTGGGTGGCCCTCAGCGGATACCAGTGCAGCTCCTCCCCAGCTGCAGGACTTTGCACTTCTCCTGGGTGAAGCTCATGTAGCTCCTGTCAGGCCATTTCTCAAGTGTGCTGAGGTCTCTCTGGAAGGCAGTACGATCCTCTTGCTTATCATCCCTTACTTCCAGCTCTGTCCTATCAGCAAACTTGCTGAGGAGACACTGTGCCCCATCACCCACGTCAGTAATGAAGCTGTTGAACAGGACTACACACAGCTCTGACCCTGGGGGTACAGCACTAGCTACTGGTCTCCAATTAGACTTTGCTCTTCAGACCACCACTCTCTGGGCCCTAAAACTTCAGTTTTCAGTCCACCTATCTGCTCATCCAGTCCATACATTAACAGCTTTTCTATGAGGAACTTGTGGGTCAAAAGGCTGGACCAAGATGAGTGGGTACACTCGTATAACAATTATGCTTCTGTAAAATTTTGTCTTGAGACATTTCTGCTCAGATTGGCTTACTGTAGAAAACTTTTGTACTACAGTACTGTTCTACACTGGCACACTCCATTTGAACCATAGCCTTTTTGGATCACGTACCTGTTTCCAACAGCTTTAAATACTGATCTGCTCTACTATTAGAAACAAGGGGTACAAGATCCTACACACAAATTCCCTGCTAATAATTGATAAAGGCTGCCTGCTGATATATGTTCAGATATGAGAATTGCTGAAGCATGAATCACAGAAAAATCTGAAGTCAGTTTCTGAAACCAACACAAATACTGTTTATTTGTGGGATGCCATTTTACAACAACACCATGAAAAGACCTAAAAAAAAATGAACTGAATTAACTCATGTTAGGTGGCATAATAGTATTTTCATCATATTGTGAGTCACAGGAGTTTAGCACACCTTATTTATGTAATAGCCAAATAACTAAGACATAAAGCATTCACAGTTACAGGTTAACTGCTGTTCCTGCAACAGCAGTGTCAATCGGTGCTATTCTGACACACATACACATGCACACACACACACAGTGGGGGAGCAAGCAAGGATTTCAAAAAGAAAAGCAAGTAAACAAAAAAAGAGCTGAATTTTGGTCTCATTTACAGAAAACAAACTATTCAGTTTGTGGATGGATTCTATATACTGTTAGAACAATATGAAAAGACAAAATATAAGGCCTAGAAAGAGGTATGTTAGCAGCTATAAATAAAACCAGGGCACAAGCTAACCTTTAAAGCTGCCTATATAAAATCCAAGAGTATCAAACAATTTGTTAGACTTATGACTAAGGGTCAACAAATCTGGGAAAACCTTAACACAAGTGAAGTCCATTTCTTGTCCTTCAAAATAGTAACTTGGGAACATTAACCAACAGCAATAAGCTGTAACTAATTTTGATTGTGTGAGCATATTTCTGATGAAATACACGTGTTTTTAGTTAAATGGGAGAAGCCTCAACAGAATTAGAAATGGCTACACAAAGATAACCTAAGTATTTATTGTAGCTTAAAGACAACCTTAAAGAGCTTTTAACTGAAAACTCAAGTACATAAATAATTTCAGTAATTTCTATATTCTTCACCTTGCTTTCTTTGGAAAAGATAAAAAGTGAAGAAACAACAGTAATGGAGAATTATATTAATACTTTAAATACTTAGTATCACTTTGCTTTAGAAGGAAATTTAATTCATGGACTGTTTTGGTTACTAATATTAATAGAATATTAATTTAGGTTGAAAAGATCCTTAAGACTATTAAGTACAAAAAGCTCCAAATTTTTGTCATCTATCAAAGAACATCAACTGCTATAGTCTGGACACTGTTTTCCTTTCACTAACTGTCTTTCCAATTTATATCTCCCAAATACCAAAAATGAATCGATCATCAAGTTTCTGCTAGAAGTTCAAAAACAGTACACCAGAAACATTAGCACAAGACCCATGACACTTTTTCAGGAATGACTTCTCAGTGTCTTGTCCCACAAAACAGCATATTTTGTATATTACTTCTCATAAGGGTGGGGAGCCCACAATCAAACAAAAAAGAAATCTACATCAGCTATTTAATGGCATAATAAACAAAAAAGGCAAATGCCACACTTGTACTAAATACAAGATTAACTGAGGAGGTTAGTTAAGTTTCCACAACTATTAAAAGTTTCTCCAATATACAGGAGCAGGCAATGTTAGGATCTCCTGCTTATCAGCATATATAGCAAAACCAGCAGGATGGATAGCACAGGGAAGCTCATCAAATCACACAGGTCTGTTTTAGTCCATTTGTTCACTATAAATGTCAGTAAAGCCGTCTCTACTAGCTGTAATTGAATCTGTGGTTTACTTTAGGAAGATGCATGTTTATAAACCTGCTGATGGCTACAGATTCATACTGTTTCATATGGAATAAAAAATTTGCAGTATCTCATTCATTTCCAAACACATTCTTCCTTTCCACCACTCCTGATTACTTTTACCCAGAAAGTAAAAACTTGAAAGAACAAGTTTGTTTGCTTACACCGCCAAGTACTTTCTGAGGTTTCTTTCCCCATTTCTTTGCTTTAAATTAATTTTTTTTATTCTGATAAACATTTGCAAAACTGCCAAGACCTGGCTGAACCGATTTCTGTCAACCCTGTTATATGAAAGCTATACCTGTAACAGTAATAGATTAAAAGTGTCTTTGGCTCTTGCTTCCATTATTGGAAACTCAGTTATCTGTGACATATAAAACCTTTTATACAAACTTGTATTTGTTGCAGGATTCACACCAATTTGTGCTGAACAGTTTCCAAGAGGCAACAGCTAGCTTAATGTTTCAAGAATAACTACACCTATTTCACTTAAAATCTTGGCAATCACAATTTGGCCTAATGTTAAAAGTTATATTGCTTCTAAGTTCATTCTTTGAAGAACTAAACCAGCAGCTCCACTGGTATTTCATTACAGTAATACTATTGTAATATACACATTTACATCAGAAGTATTAATAAAAGGTGTGTTTTCTTAAGAGGCTTATTGTAAACATTAAATATCACACTCCACTCAATTAATTTCTTGTGCAAACTGGCATCAAACATGGAATTAAGGTTATGTGCAGTAGTACATGAGAATTGTGTAAGTTTTTCCACTACTAATTTTAAAAAGCGCTATTTAGTGTTACAGAAACCCAAATGTAGCTATTTCACAGGACAGGTAGTATTTTCTTCTTAGCATCATGGAATTCTATGTTCTGTATATGCATGTATATTGTATATTTACGTATATACAAATATACACAAACAGACACACAGTTTTTGTCTTTGGCAGCTGAGCTTGAAAAACAAAAACCAACAACAACAAACAGATCTGAACACAACTGACCACTTGTAGCACCACAATTACAACCTCCTGGCCCAGGGCAGCAAACTAATGTGCTTTTGCTAAACTAGGCTTAATCCTGAAAGGAGTCAAGTCAATGGCAGCTGTTCCTAACTTGATGGCAAAGATAGACCCTTCATCACAGAAGAAAATTTTCAACATAAAACTTTTTCCTCCTGTTGCTCTGGATCGCATTCTAGGGAAGTAACGAAACTGCCAATACCTCATAAAATATTTCTACAGAAAAATAATGTTATTTGTTGTTCCAAAATACCCACTGGCCCTTTGTCATTAAATGCTCCATGAATTGATAACATCTTAATAAATCCTTGGGGATCAAAGTTTAATAGCACCGGATACTTTAAGGACCTATTTATAAATAGCAACTCTATCATTACTTAATAAACAAGGGTAAGGCAAAGACAACATGACAAAATTACAGAATGTCAACATTATTCCATTCACTCATTTTTTCCCAAAATAATAATACAGATAAAGAGATGAGCAAAACAGGAAGTGGTCCCTACTAAAAAGTACTGTCATTTAATGCTGGTGTCTTCCATGCCCGTTGCCTGCAATGGACATTCTGCCAGGAAACTTTAATCCCCAACAGGAAAGAACAAGTACTACTTTGACTATTCAAGATCGTGTTTTTTCCAATATCATATTTTTCAGTACTTAGAAACATGAAGCTGGAGGCCCTTGGAAAGACTAGCGTTACAAACAAAAAAAAAAAACCCAAAACCTTTATTATGTCTGTGCTAGGAGTTAGCACACTTCCATTCCTCAAACCACTAATTTCAGCTAGAACTTTCAATGTCATTGGGTCACTAGATCACAACATAGATCAAACATTCTTGGTACAACAAAAATTAAAAGGAGTATGCCAAAGGCAATTTAAAAAAGTCTAAAACCCATTTTTAAAAGGTATTTTAATTTGTTCATTTGTACCTGTAATGACTACTGCAGTTTTAACATTAAAAAGTCAGTACTTTTTTCTTTGAATGGAAATCATCTGTGGCATGTACAACTATTACAGCATTTAAATATTTATATGTATATATATTTTTAAGACACCAGTGTTTCATTCCTATAAAGCATTAGGTCAGGTTTGGCGAATTCTGGTGAAGGAAATCACAGCATGTCTTCTCAGAAATTGGCATCTCAAAAGTAACATTGAAACTGTAAATAGTTCTTCACATAACTATGTCCAAAAAGGCTGAAATGCTACATTTGAGACAAAAAGAAAAAATAACTAAAGTTTCAACAGACATGTAAGTGATGATTAGAAATATGCCACAAGATTATTTTTACAATACATTTCTGCAGAAATAATTCCTAGGTGAAGCCTTTTTTTTATACACATATACAAAATTTAGACAGCAATATACACATAATCACAGTGAAGACTCTGGCAAGTTCACCAATTTGTAGTGTAAATACAAAATGCAAAGCAGCCTTCAAAGAGAACAATGCTAAACAGCAAGCATAGCTAGCTTGTTAAATAGCAAACATCGAAAGTTCCCTGCCAAAGGGATGCAGTGCAAGAAAAGCAGCATGCACTTTGATACAAATAGCAGTTTATGGCTAATGGTTGACATAACTGTGGTAACAGTGACTCTTGAGTGGCTGTGCATAGTTAAACTCCTATGTCATCTGTTTTCCTTTATACCATTCCACAAACTCATCCAACAATACTGGCCCTGTAGAGAGATCAAATAACTGTATTTTACAAAATTTTGTAAAAGGATACTGAATGATTAAGCTCAGAGAAATAAATTAGTTTAGAACATCAACATATGGTAATACTTACAGGCTCCATCTTCATCATAGTTACTGAGGTCAAGGTTAATTGTTCTGCTGAATTCAAGAACGTTACACCATTGGTCCTTATTGATAACTTTGTATTTTGATTGCTGCTTGAGGCAAGAAACAGAAATTACTGAAATGTATTTTCAACTGTCTCAAACTCAGATTTTCTTACAGAAAATTTAAACTTTGTGATGCATTATTGTTTTAATGTATACATGCCATCTAAAACTATAAAAGATTAAACTAACAGGTATTTAAACTAGCGTTGAAACATGCTTTTGATTAAGATATCTTTTACAGGGCAAACATGCAGCAAGAAAATAAAGACCAAAAGCAAAAAAAATAACATTCTATAGTTTGTTCTGTGTTACAGAAATCTTAACAGCATAGGAATTTAGGAAAAAGAAGCACGGAAAGATAACCAGTTGCATGTGCTACTTTGGTGGTTACTATTTCCTAAATCAGAACACAGCATTCACAGCTGCTCATTCTACATTGAGTTAAAAGGCATAAGAGAAGACAGATTAAAAAACCCCATCGTTCTGTTTCCAATTCCATACCTCTAGAAACTGATGAAATACTGGAAAAAGGGACCATGCTTTTCCTAAAAGAAGGCCCAACATGCACTTGGCAGTATTGATATCTAGGCTGCGCTGGTCCTTTTCCTGCATGAAAAGGTCAAAAAGGAAAACAAAGCATGAATTCCAGCTTTTTCACCTCCCTCACACCTCACCCATGGTGAAAATAAATCAACAAATAAATGATATATAGCAGTATCTTACAGTGTTTTTTAATAAAACACAACTTGCCAGTAAAATTTCCTTCCTTAGAGGTAACAGCATGTTTTACAGAGATGTTACCTTCTATAGATGTTCCCAATAAGACATCACTTTTATGGCAGATGAGGCCTAAGGTCATTTCTGACTTCAGACCTCCATAGCAAGCAATGTTCATCAGATCCCCAGCCATGTTTGCACAGATCCCCTGCACAGCCACACTTCTCAGAGTAGCGGTACTGTACCCCTTTCCTTCCTGCTCTATCACTACAACTACCTGGACTGTCAACAGACACTCATTGCTACCTGACACCTCCTTCTCTACATGGAGAGCGAGCCATGCGAGGGTCTTTGTTCTGTTGTTCTAACTGATCACATGACATAGATTAAATTTTCAAATGAGCAGGCAGAACATAATACACCAGCACATTTAGACTCCTCTCTGGACTGTCCAGTTTTAGTTCAATGTAACAACAGTATATTTAAGCTTAAGGGCTGATGTTTTTGTTGTCTCTGCTAAGTAAAAGCAGCAGTATCTGTACCCAGTACGTTTGTTAATCAGTGGCAAATATTTAGTAATATAAACTCTGCAGATCTCAAAGTATGGTTCCATTTTGTTAAGTAGTTTATTCACCTACCTTTGTTAACACTAAATTAAACCAATTTTATTGAGAGATGAGATAAACCTGCACACTTTTATGCCTTGGTTATGGCACTGAGTTATAAATTTACAAGTTAATGAAATCACAAAACAATCAATTTCCATATTAGCCAATGTAGATCTTGTTCTCTGTATGTATTCATGACAGCAGACTGCAAAATCTAAATTAAGGAAAGACAGAGTATTGCATAATAATGGAATGGGTTAGTGGAAGGGACCACAGTGTGTCATCAGGTCCAACCCCCCTGCTAGGCAGGGTCACCCTAGAGCACATGGCACAGGATTGCACCCAAGTGGTACTTGAATATTTTCTATGAGGGATATTCCACAACCTCTCTGGGCACTCTGTTCCAGTGTCTGTGGTCACCTCCACAGCTATTCTACCCCATATTCAGGTGGAATTTCCTGTGCATCACCTTCTGCTCACTGCCTCCTGTCCTACTGCTTGGCATCACTGAGAAAAGCCTGGATCCATTCTCTGACACCCTCCCTGCAGATAATGATAGACACTGGTACACTCCTATCCTTTAACCAACCTCACTGCCCTCCACTGGACCTGCTCCAGGAGCTCCATGTCTCTCTTGCCCCGAGGAGCCCAGAACTGGACACTGCACTCCTGATGCGCCTCACCAAGGCTGAGTAGAGGGGCAGGATCCCCTCCCTCAGCCTGCTGGCAATGCTCTTCCCAATGCACCCCAGGACACCTCTGTCTTTCCACACTGCTGACACACAGAGAGCTTGTTGTCCACCAGGACATATCCCACATAGGGATATTCTGGATGCTGGGAGTGTCTAACAGATCACTGCAAGACAGCTAGCTGCCCATGACAAAGGAAACTGAGCCTTATGTCTCACCTGTACAAATGCAGTTCTATGTATTACAGAATATACATCTTTATTAAAAATCAAGCTAAAATCATAACTGAATTGTCTTCTATCACATAAGGATGTGACAGAGTAAGATCCCAGTTCTCAGTCAACAACTGAATGCCCTAGTCACAAGGTTACATTCATTTCATCCTAAACACATCTCAATTCTAAAACTGTGTAGACAGAATTTAATGCAGATTTGTTTTGAAAGTGAAGTAGGGAGACCAGCAATTCTGAAAACATGAGAAACTATTTTGCATTCTGGGTACTAAATCCAAGAGGGATTTAGAGGAAAAAAGTAATTTCCATTATGAACAAAGCTTTTCAATTAGTAAGAAAGATGAAAAAGTAACCTGCAAAGGCATTTTTGTACTAGTATGATATAAATCTTTCACTTATTTCTAACCTCAAAAAGTTCTAAGAACTAATTCTCTTTCCAAAGCCTGTCTACACTTCTGTCAAAAAAACCTTTAAGCAGAAATAATGCTGCTGCCAGAATACATTTTATTTTACTTACTGTTTATACTCTGAATTCTTCCCACACACTCAAGTATTAATGAAATCAGGCTCTATTGCCTTTATTTTGTCCACACTGGTTTTTCATGTCTTATATTGTTACATTTCTACATTCTCTGACTACTGATCAGAACAAATTGTTCAGATAAGCCCTTTCTACCCACCTCCAACTGCCTAATGGTACATCTGCCATGCCATGCAATTTCATTCTTAGCATACATTCTAGACACTTACATTCCTTGGATACAATTGAAGCAATTTACTAACAAATTTTGTTTTATCTGAGTATTTGTTTTACAGTGATGATAGGCAGTCTTCCTGAGATTTTTCCCCCTAATATTTCACATTAAAGATCTGTTTAAGCCATATACATGCATCTGTATCTTCTCAAACTTGGCAATAACAAGGGCAAACATGGCTTGAGGAATGTATTTGTGCTTAATATCAACATATGGTGTTTTAAATTATTACCTCAAATCTAGGCTGACTTAAATCGTGCATTGCCACATGAAACCTTGATGACACATTCTTATTCACAAACTAAATGCCAAATCAACAGAGTCTTTTAAAAAAATTTCTCTTAAAATTTAGGAAGTTCAGATAAGTGGTTTTTTGCCATGGAGTACTTCCCTAAGAGAATCATCCTTAGGACAGAAATTACGCTATCTCCTGAATGCAAAACCATCAGCTTTTTTCTATCAATTATTTCAATGACCCTGAAAAAAATTACACCCAGTTTAATCTAGCATCTATAAATATATCTGCCTTTGTTCTTTTCTATTCTTACTGGATGCCATTCTCCTATAGACTTTCCCAAGTCTGTAGTATCACAAGTCCAGTAATCACATTAGCCAAATCTTCCCCAATTTATATGTTGGGTCGAAGTTTTATAATCTACAGGGGCATTTTGTCACAAATACAGTCACAGCTTCTGTGTCTCAATGTTTAAATTCTTTTTTTAAACCACTGTTTGTCACACCACTTTGGTACCCCTTGAAAAGAAAACACAAACTATCCACCTTTTAAATATCTGCACTTCTGACAGGCCATCAGCTGGCATAGGTTCGCTCTCTATCCCAAATATTTCATCAGTATCATGAACTTCTTAGGAAATGCCTCTATATTTTACATTGAGCAAAACTGGCAGAATAAAGCTTCATACAGCAAAGGAGGAATTAAGAGGTTGATAAAGCTTTTCTTTTCCTCTCATACTAATCCCATGCATTTTTTTTATATTCAACTGCAGATTTCCTTGTTTAAAAGTGAACTACCAGAAATCTGAATGCTGAGATGAAGAAAGCACTGAGATTTATCAAAAATCTGAGTTGCTAATGAGAGACTATTAGGACTGCTATCAGTGCAATTTCTTCTTATTTTTCTCAGGCTACTTTTTTTGGTGCAAGTTTTCTTAATTTTTTTAGTTCACTTGCACTGGAATCTGAGGTTCAGTTTTACCTTTTCATGTTAAACCTTCTGTATATTCCAACACATTAGCAAAATGTATGTCCAAATTCTATTTCAAAATATTATTTCAGAAAATAAAGTTATCTTATTACTTTCTCCAAGTATGATTAGTCTTATGTCTACTAGTTCCAATACAAGTAAAATTTCATCAAAGCATGTTTTATAGCAGGAAGACTGATATCAGAGTATTCTTTAAAAAATACTGAGAACATCATTAAACTCATTCCAACGATCTTCTGAATCAGTATTTGTAACATATCCAGCTTTTATCATGTTACCCATTTTCATCAGCTATGGAAATATGTTGAAATATTGAAATATGTGTCTTCCTGTTTTATATATGTTTATGCTCACAAAATTCACAGTAAGAAAAACCACAGTAATTATAAAGTCAGGGGAACTCAGTAGTAAAGCTTGAATACACAATAGAATGGGGCCTAAATTATTTCCCTGAAGTCATAAAATAGCTTGAGGCAGAGACAAAAAAAACATGTCACTAAACCATTAAACATTACTATATACCTTTCCAGTTTTGACATCTTGCACATTCTGTTTTAGAACACAAATGGTTCCATTTGTTAGAAGCCATCTTGAGTAGCATCTTCAGAGAAACAACCTTAGAAGTATATGGTCTTTCAATTATTATTTATGACAGTAACGTTTGTAATTTCAAGTGCACAGTACTTACCCGTGCAAAGTCAAAGGCATATCTATAAATAAGTTTAAAATTGGCAGGCTCATTTAATAAAGATCTCAAGTAATCCAGAGAATTCCTCAATTTTTCTGTAGTATCACACCTACAAAACAAGCACCAAGTAGGTTTAGAGGCTGCATTCTTACTGAGATGTCTGATGTTCTAGGAAAGAATCTCTAACATGTATCCCCATTAACCTGTTCAAAACACATCACTCTGTATAGAGGCATGTTTCTGAGTATGTCTCCATGAAATACCTTATTAAACCCATGGTGTGAAACAAATTTAAATAAAGTAACGAAGTCTTACACTGGGACTGACTGGCACTGTAAAAATGCACTCTCCAACAGATAAAACTAAGAGCTTGTCCATGCATGGCAAACAAACAGCAAATCAAAGTGAAAAATACTTGTAAAGTCTTGCTGAAACTACAGAACCTCCTACACAGTTTCAGTGATTCTCTTCTGGAAGGTAAGTCAAAACAGTTCATTCTTTCTCCAGCTCTCTATGAAACATGACTATCCAACTTTATTTATGATAATTTTTGCCATAAAAGCTCTTAACTGGAGCAAGCAACCTTTAGAAAGGACAATGCAGAGTTACAGAAAGGGTTTGTATTATTTAGTGTTTTAAATCACTCTAACAATATACCAATATCTAAAAGATATGTGCAATCCAGCAACAAAGATAGATGTCCTTGGGGACAGAAAGAGAGTCAAGCTTTATGACATTTCTCTTTTATTGAGACTGACTGCAGACCTTTTAATCCAACTGTATTTAAATGTGCAACATCAGGTTTCAAGTTCTCTAAGCAACCAGTATCATCATAAATCAGACCAAAAACTTGTGACTTCTACTCATTCCATGGCAGAGCTCTTGGCTTTAGGTGTTGAGTCAAAACACTAAAGTGTGTTTTTTCTGAGAAGTTGTGTTTACTATAACAAATGTAAGAGAATTTTCAAGGCACTTACTGTAGTGATGTCATTCCTTTTAACCATTCTTGTAATGTAAAGTAGCCCATGTTTTGTGCATCCAACTTCCATGCTAGCACAAGCATAACTACCTGTTTTAAAAAGAAAAAAAAAGAGACTGAGAATTTAACAAAAAATTGATGTGTTTTACAAATAACTACTGTTTAGTGGGCTACAAAGGCTTTGACTTGTGTAAGTGGAAAGTTCAGAACCCAACTGAAAATAGGCAACACTATTTTAGAAGTTAAGAAAATCCTGTAGGTGACAAACCTTTACACAATCCAAACAAAGAGAACGGTGTAAACATATAGTGAACATCTACCCAAGTTACCAGTCAATACAACAGGGAGAAGATTAGTTGGTGCAAAAGCTACAGAAAAGGTTTCCCAAAGTAACTACAAAATTTCAGTACCAGTTTGACAAACTATACCTCACATTTGTTAAACCCTCATCTCAATGAACATCAGTTGCAATCCATGAAATTCAATTATTTGAAAGCTAATAATGATCCCACAGTTCAAGCAGATAAGTAAATCTAGATGAACTAACATTAATACACATCAAAACATAGGCTGATACATAAATACTTCAGTTTTGCCCAAAAGGAAACAGTCTTTTTCACATCTCGCACAGAAGACCAAATCAAAAAAGAAGTTAGAAAAAGCAATACCTTAAGATTATTATTATCTAATTCATCAACTTAAGAAACCACATTTGACAAATATATGAAAGAAAAACTTGCAGGACAACTGACCCTGCCAACCTGGAGAAAAAAAATAATTAAGTCATTTAACTAGCCATTAACTAGTTAAGGTTAGTGAAGCTCTGTACAGCTTACAATTGAAAAGCACAATACCTGCTTATACATCCAAAATGTCTGCATAAATCACAACATTTATTTTTTTTCCTAAACTCTGAAATTATGAAATTACATCTCATTTTTCAGTACATCTTTCAAAGCCACAATTCTCATTTACTTATATGATGCTCCATGAATTCTGCAAAAACAGGACTTCCAAATGCATTTAAATAACAAAAATTAGGCACGAGGAAAAAGCCTGTAAAATGCACAATTATTTTTTTAGATTTTATTCATATATATATTTACACACACACACATATATACACCTCACATAAAGAATATGTATCTGTAAATATATTTATATTCCTTATTTATTTTTTGAAATAGTATAATGGTAGTGCCACTACTGCCCATAATATTTGAGATCTCTTTCTGTCCTAGAAAACCCAAAGGAAACACTATTTGTTTGTTCATTGGTATATTAAATCTTGAATATTGTCTCTTAGTTTCAGAAAGACAATCATCGGAGCGGGGTTTGATTTTTGGTGGGTTTTTTTTTAAGATCTCTTTTTCTGAAGAGACTGAAGGTTGGCGGTGTTAAAGTGGAAAAGAAGGGGTGGCAGAGAAGACATGTTGAGGTTTCACAGATTGACAGTCTTTAAAATAATGGAAAGTTGTTCCCAAATGTGTTTCAAAACCTCCCTGGTTTATATTTCTTGAATTTTTTTCAAGTCTCAAGAATTTTTTAATCCTTGGTGGAAAAGCAAGAACTATAAGACTAGCTAATGTACACCATAGCAGATGAGGCATTTTTAAAATGGATTCTGAACTTACATTTTCTGGTTCAACTCCAATGTCTTCACAAAATTTCTCCATACCTTCTGGCCCTACAATGTCATCTGTGCCTGCAAACAAAACGTATTTTACTTATCTCTAAAAATTAAAGTAGCCTGTCCTTTACAGCACAAAAGAAGTGCAATCACACAGCGCAACCTAACTTTCATGGAGTTTGTTTTAACATGAAATAAATATTTCCACACTTAATATCAGACTTGGATGCACTTAAATCTTTATCTCACCTTTGAAAACAGAGAAACAGTAAAACGACTTTTCATCCCTGCCAATCTTTCTACTCATTTACTGAGATAATCCTCGAAGTCTAAATTAAATTAGTAAGATTTTTAATAATGCACTTCAGACTAACAGAATATAGTATTATCACGCTTAAATGAGTGGACAGTGGCTAGTGAAACTCATTCCCTGGCTGGAATTTCTACTGTTACCACAAGATCAAATGACATAAAAACATGATGTACAGCTATACAAGCATGATCAAGCATGTATACAGCATACAAGACATGATCATTTGCAGAATCTCATTCCTCATTGTCTCATATCTATCTTTATATTATTTTATCCTGCTTATTCATATTACTACACCATAGCCACACATCATCTGACTAAAAGTAAATGGAATGGGAAGGAAAACAAGGAATTACAGTTATTTCTCTGCCTACTTAAAAGGGAAAAAAATATTCAAAATATAAATGCTATTAAAATGCACCACTAATAAAATATGGTCTTAAGGTATTTGTAACTTTTGAATACTACTGAAAAAAGTTATACAGCATTAAGAATTGAACTAGTTTTAAATACACTTTAAGTATTTGAACAATTTTGTTAGAATTACTTGAATCGTGTTTAAAAGAGCTTGTTTTTTGAAAAAAAAATACAGGCTTAAATGCCTACTTTCCTCAACTATAAAGATCACATGTGCAAGAAAAGCAGGATTTATAAAGGGAAGATCAATCTGTACTTTATTATTGGGTGATCTATTCTAGAAACAACAAGGTTTAATTATGTCTTTTCCCATCTTCTCCTAACAGCCTCTCAGTTCTCAGTGTACACAACAGCCTTTAAAAAGACTCATTCTGTAATGCAAAAAACACACCAAGGGAGGGAAAAAAACCCAAATGCAGTGTCAACTGTCTGCATACATAAAGAAGACTTATGAAGCAAGAACACAAGAGATTATTCCTTGAAAATTCAATTTTTAGAATGTTACTCAATACTGTAAACAGAATCGTACTCTCCACTTTTCTGTGTTTTATCTTGGTGTGTACATCCAGTGGAAACCCCAAAGTTCTCTCACAAACAGCCTTCCTTTCATCCTTTCTTTCCATGAAAGTCTTGACAAAAATGAGTCATGCCTGTTGCTAGAGTGAAAAAATAAATCAAGCTGGTCAGAAAGGCAGACAATCTAACATGTTAGATTTGGCTTGAATTTGTCTGAATCTCCTCTCACAGACTGCCACAGAAAAGTGAGATCTCAGAGTATTTAATTTCATTTATATAATTTTATTAGGAGAAAAAATGTTTTATTACATTAAATTAAGTCATTTTTCATTATGTTTAAAAAGTAGACGAAACAGAACGAGCTGTTAGACATGTTATCCAAGACAGCACCAGAAAACTGCAAGATGACATTAAACATCTACTTCATTTCTTTCTGGTCATTACAGTCATTTCCCCCATATGTCAAATCCTTCCTTTCAGAAAACACATGCAGGAAAACAAATACAACAACCAACTTCCCTAACAAAGGATCATCTTTTGTGACCGCAAACCATAATTAGCATTCCTAGAAGTACTGTCTGAAAAAAACTTCTCATACAAGAATAAATACTACAGGCTATCTTCCCTATACCTTGTGATGGAAAACTATCTGATAAAACTAGTATGGGATATTTGAATTCATTCACTTCTTCACTTGAAACCCTAAGCACTGGATTCAGCAGGATCAAAACTAGTGTTACTACGTCCCCTCACTGTTTGGGTTTTTTTTAATTAAAGACACACCACTTCTGAGGCTAATTTTGTACTATGCAGTGCTAACATGGCTAACAGATCATAGAGAGGTAACACCATTTTCAACAGAAGTACAACTTTAACTGTAGATTTGAATAGTAAAGTATACAGGTTCCAAAATAGTTCAAATTACACACCTTCTGTACTCTTTTTATAGGATGTAGACAAAGAAAATTGAACCTTGAACTCTTCAACCTCACATCACACAGGATAAAGGAAAGTTTCTCTAAGACTTTTACAAAAAATCCTTTCTATTCAGTCTTTTGAAAGCTCATTTAATGCAATTTTTATATTCCAATATAAATTAAATTGTTACTGGTAGAAAATTTGCATTTCATACTTACCTGCATATTCATAGAACCATTCTAAGCATCTCTTACTTGAAAAGACTTCTTCTTCCTCTGCTTTTATTCTAGTTGAATCATATTTTCTATACATACTTAGAGAAAAGAAAGAGAAACAAGAAATTAATTAATCAGTATTTTTAAAAAGCAATCTTTTAGTCAACAACCACTCTTAGTATAAACATTATTCCTTTCAGTTTACTTAACATTCTGTCCACATATCCAGTCATTTGGAACACTGCTTAAGAATCACTGAAGCTAAATACTTTGTTTGCTCACTCTGTCATACTTCCACTGACTCATACTCATTACCCACGTAAATGACCTTCCCCTAAACCAAATACAGGTTCGTTCAAATTCAACCCCAAATTGTTCTGTGCAAGCTCACAGTAAGGCCTTGCCTTACACCACCAGTTACCACAGTCAACTGATGAGCTGCAATCCAGCTGTGGGTCTAAGGCCAGAGCAATTCCATGGCAGTCAACACAGGTCATACCTTTAGGTGCACCCATAATTTGTGAACTTCAAATTATTGATTAAAGAAAACTGCAAATATTCCTTTTGCCGCCTCAAAAAGATTCTACAAAAGGCATAAAGGCCAAAAGAGACAAGATCTACACTTATATTATTCTAAAGCCAGTAAGTTGGTAACACGAAAGAACCACAGAAAAGAGGTTAATAATCCTCATCAACAGTAACTCAAGGAACATCATTCATAATGGAGTAAAGAACAATCTGAAAAGCTGGCCCCCTTCCCCAGAGACTACCAGCAGGGTAATGCTCTTCTCCTTCAACAAGAAGTGTAAGGAATTTTAACTACACTAGGGAAACAAATTAAGTATCTGAAATACCTAAAGCACAGGAAACATGACAGAATTTGAAGGGTTACTCCCCCAGTTTGACCTTGTGAAACAGGGACAATACAATTTGTGCCTCCTAGAGGAAAGGGACTCAGTCAAGTTATCCACTGATGCACATGCATTCTGTGATCCATTTCCACCACTCTTCAGTAGCTTGGCCTCATAAAGGCTGAAAAGAGCAACAAATAAATGGTTTAGTCTAGATGAGGTAGCCAAGAACAGCTCTGTAAATGTTCCAAGCATGCAGAGCTTCCTCTCACCATGTCAAATCCTGCTGGGGGAAGACAATGAAGTGGCTAACTGGTTCAAGGAGAATTTTTAAACCATTTGAATAATGAAATTAATTTGGAGTTGATTTCATCAATGTTTCATCCTTCAGAAAGACAAGTAAAAGACACCTAGATTTATGAGCTTAAAGTACACCAATCCCACTATCCTCCACCTAGCTCAGCTATCAGCTGTGAGGACCTGGAGCTAGAAGTTAATGGCACACACATTATGACAGGAATTCAAAGAAATATTTCATGTTTGCTGCCATAATTCCTTTAAAGCAACTAATCTTTAGAAAAGTAATACTAGTCAGAACAAAATGATAAACTGCTAATTGGAAGACAAATACAAATGAGACCCTTAAGAAATTCCTTATGAAAAACTGACACTGTACTGAAGCACACTGATGTGCAACAAACTGGAACACTGCATAGAAACGTCAGCCAAATGTGTTCCAAATACATATTCATATACCCACCATTTTAGGTTTGGATTTTTTCATTTTGAAAACACTTTTTTCCTATTTGAATTACCTATTTTGCATAAGCTTTACTGAAGTTGCAAAGGAAAAGGCTGGCAGCATCACTCAGAAGGTATAAGTCTGAGTCGGAATAATTATTTTTTTTTAATAAGTCTGATAACATTTTCATACTTGCAGAATGAACTGCAATTATGAAATATATATCAAATAATTTTTAGGCTATTCTGAACTCAGAGCAATCAAGACAAAGAAAGAAGGCATTCTGCCACTTTGGCACATTCTTAATTATTCAGGATCCCCTTTTTTGTCACAAACAAACGTGACAAACACCAAGTAGAATACCAAGCTGGAAACTGTAGCAGGAGCTAGTCAACATCTTTATTCTATTCTCTTTATTCAAGAACTCTGTAAGACTACTGCTGGAAGCGAGGACATAGCAAAGCTAACGAGGTTCACAAAGAAAGATATTTATCACGAGACTCAATGCTTTTTCTTACAAAGGGATGATAACCAATTGTCTTGCCCTGCTTGTTCATGTAAATCAACATGTTAAGCTGTCAGTATGCAAACAGTGCATTTAAGAAGAAACTTCAAGAAACAGACTTATTGACAGAGCTATAAGTCATTCAGGTATTTAATAAAAAAAGGTTTCCTGCATCTACAAATGGCAGAGCTAAATACTGCAGCCTGAAACAAGACTTCAGTGCCAGCAATATGTGTAATAGGAATGGTGAGCAAGAACAGAAAAAAACAGCCCTTTTTATACATCCTCTGCATCTGCACATAGGAGAATTTCAGACAACTGATACGAGATTGAAAGTCATTTGCATTTAAGGCTAAGGTCACAGTTTAGGAACTGCAGGAAATAATTATACTATTAACTACAATTAGTTATACAATAACTCATTATAAAGTCCATGTGCTCAACAGACAGCCAAAGAAAATGCTTTTGCCTCAAACATGATTGTTCAAAAAGCTCAGTACCTGACTGCTGGAGTTCAATTTTTGAGAAACCAGAACTGATTACAGAGATTCCAGCTTATGCCAGTTCACAAATTCAAAGAAGCAAGTCAAAAGGGATATAATCTCGAACTATCCCACTCTCTGCTACAAGCTAATTAGTAAGACATGCATTAACAGTGCAGGTGACAAGGTATCACATTTATAATGAGAACAGACTATGCGTGGCCAGAATCAGTGATCTCATGTATAAAGACAAACCCTTTTCTCTTTCTGCTTATTCCAAACATTAAATTAGTTTCTCACCCAAGCCTAGCCAAGGCAACTATTTCCACTAGCGAGAGACTCCTAATCTCTGAAGTGCCTACTGAACCAAGATGAGTGGGGAGATGCAGTTAGTAGACAAGCACCTGAGATTACTCAGCCTAGGAAAACTTGGTTCAACCTGGCGGCACAGAGTAAAGGTATTTTCAGGGACTACATCCACTGAACTATGATTAATATGGATTTAATTATCTCAAGAACTATACTTGCAGAGGAGAAAAACACAAACTTACAGATGTATCTGGCATCCATTTTTCATCTTGCAGTATTCCTCATCCCTGTGGAATTTCTCAGTACATACTACATGATGATGTGCCTTGTCTTTGTTTTAAGGACAGCATCTCTTGCTTTGCAGAAAAATACACTGCCAGAGTGCACAGGGTAGATATCTGAATACTTTGGGATGACCAAACATCTAATGGACAGATCTGAGTTTCAAACAGCAAGTCCTCAATGGCTCACAGCTTCCTCAAATGACCAGTACTTTGACCAGGTCAAAAGATCAGTACTTTAAGACAGATGCACAACCATTATGCCAACCAAGTTCTGCTTGATAATTTGCTTCTATATTGATGGTCTGTAAGAAGAAACTGCAGTGTCTATCACACACTAGATATGAAAGAACACACTGTGGGGGGGGGGGGGGGATGGAGGGGCAAGGTACAAGCAAAGTAAAAAACTCAAAAAATGCCTTCTATAAAGGAAGAGCAAGTGACTATAGCTGATACTTTTGGTACCAGAATTTGCACACTGTCAAAGAATGCTGACACTGTAACAGGATTGCTAAAGGGCATTTCTCCATCATCAGTTACATGCACAATTTTATCCTGGAGTGTCTGCTGTACCTGTCACTACCAGACAATAGCAAACTTGGAACCTTTGCTTTTAGAATTGCCCTTCCATTTCTGAATCATGACATGACCTCTGCCAGGAACAGCAAGGAAAAAAAAAAAGTATGACCTACACACATAAGTATGTATTTGCCTCTCAGATAAAACACACATGAAGGTACAATAACTCAGAAAAATATCAACTTGAAAAATAGTATTTTTTTTAGTTTAGCATGACACTGTGTCAGAACAGAGACAGCAATATACAACTTATTTGTAACAAATATCCTTGTCAGAAGCTTTTAGGTTTTTCTTTTTTGTTATCTCTTTCTAACAGCCATTTCGTCAGCTAGAGAGAGGAAAGAATGTGGGACAGAGCAGGGCAAAAGCAACATGAGATAGCCTGTCTAAATTTTGTAGAAGTGATTTCAGTTACTTAACCACATCAAAATGTAATACTTTTCTCAGAGATGCTTGCACCTCCGTCATGACCTAATAGCTGACTCATAACATCCATGTTTAAACTTTTATTTGAAATATTCATGTGAGCTAAGGAATTGTAATACACCAGCTAAAAAGGAAAGAAAACATGGCGTATAACTGAAAGTGATATAGGCAAGCATCAACAGAAAAAAAAAATTAAAATGGAGTGTCTAGGCATGTCATGCTTCTTTGAATACAAAGCCATCCACATCTTACCAGATTATTTTCTTTTCTTTTTAATTGATTTGGTGGAAAAGCAAAAGCATGAAAATTCCATCCAGCTATTATGGGGTGATTAGGCGAGTCATTGTAAGAATTGATGGTGGCTGCTAGCAAAAAGAACAAGGCAATTCTCTTCAACTCACTATAGTCTTCAAAGCTGGATTATGTACTGTTCTGAGTATGTTTCACCTGTAGAGTTGGTTAAAGTTCCACCCACAGCCCCTCCCACTGCAGCAACTCTGGGCTGCATAGTTATAGAATACTCAAACCAAGATCAGTGAAAACATGCAGCTTAGGTCACACAAAACATTCTCTTCATGGTGGAACTGGTAACAATCCACTGAGGAGTAAAAAGAAAATAAAAAGGGAAAAAAGCTACATTTTATTATGGTAAGTCAAAAGTTAACCTCTCAATGAAGATCTACAGCCTGGTTATTTAGATGGTCAGTGCTTACTGAACGATTATCCAACAGCTTTGTTTCTAAGCAACCAGAACTTAGAATCTTTACTGAATTTTGAGGTTTGAACTGAGTAAGTAATTGCTTCCAGATTATTTATATTTCAAAACATGCCAATTTTTGATTGAAGGAGATGCCCCATATTACTTCCATTAATACCAATTAATTTAAAATTTTGGCTGAGAATTTTCATCAACACAGCACAATGAAAGTATTTTAATAAAGCCTTATCTATTCACTCACAATTGATTCTAGCAATAGTTTCATAAAAACTATATGTAGTATAAACAGGGTGGGAGAAGAGATGTTTTGCAATTTGCAAGACATAACAAAAACATTTAAAGCAACCCTCAGGACCAACTTACTTGACTGTTAAGTTTTATGAATGAATATACCTTATGTCTCCCTGTTTAAAGATTTAGGATAATTTCTAAGCTGTTAAATGTTTGGAACTTTATCAGGCTTACTTAATGAACAGTATGTATAACAACATACATGCTGATAGTCACATGTCCAGTTTAAGTGAAGTGCACTGAAAAGCTACAGAAAAAGGAAAAATTATACTTGTGTGTACCTGAAAATCCCTACTTCAAGGGAAAAATATCTACACACCTATGACAGCTGGGAATAAAGGCAGTCTGCATGGGGCAGGACCAAACCAGTTGGTAAACAACAACAGAATAAAAACCAACTCTCAACACAAAAGGCTTTGAAAACTTTGAAAGTTAGTACACCTTATGTTAACGACACCGTGTTTTCAAAAATTGCATTTTTCTACTATAGAGTAGTGAGTTTACTAATCAATAAAGAAAACCTTTCTTCATGTTAGTAGGCCCTTTCATGGTTCCTATACATTAAGGGTAAATTAATTGAAAACATTTATCTAATTGTTTGAAAATATAAATTTCAGGGAAGTAGATAAATATTCCTAGTTTTCATCCTCCTAAGGTGACAATATCCATTACTGCAATACTTTTGCCCTCAGTGTAATCCTAGAATAAGGAGTAGAATTATTTTTTATGAGACTGTCAAAATCCAATACATTATATTATACAGCTCATTTTTCCCTATTTGGCTAGATATTGTGTAACAGATAAGCAGCATAAGACAACTACCCAGTGAGAACTATCATTTTACCTAGCAAGTATCTTTACATAAATCTTGCTTTACCTTTCTGAAGATGCTTAACACAGTGATGGAAAAACAATGTACAGAACATGTAATTTTAACTCCGATTTGAAAATATGCTATACCATGACAGTTTTAAGTACAATGAAGTCAAGACTGTGATACTGAGATGAAAATACAAACTAAGTCTTCAAGTCATTATGCTCAGGTTAGCATGTGTTCAACTGCTTACCTCCAACAGCTATTCTTTAAGGCAAGATAAATCCTACTATAACATACTGAGTTCTTTTTATTATACATCATCTGGTATAAAAATTCCCTCCCACTGAAACACTACATTCATGCATGGTTCATGGTGATGCTATGAGCACTAATTACGAGAATTCAGGTTCTTATTATGTAAGGGTGGAATGCTAATGAACATGTTTGGAGTCTTCCACAATCAGTTTATGCACTAGATCAGCATATCCAGATAATTTCACAACTAGATTTGTTCCTATGAATGTTTTTCCTCAACTGCCTGTGCATTCCACTAATGCTTTTGAGATGAGGCTGTATTCCTAACAGCCTGGAATTAACAGTGTAAGACAATTTCTTAAGACTCTTAAAGTCATAAACTTAAACGTATCTTCTCTTTCAACATAGAGACCTGCTGAAAGAAACTTTATGGAAGAAAGCATATCTAAAAATATTGCTATCAGATTTGAAGAAATTATAGGAATGAATTAAAAATAGTGAAGACTGAAAATATGACCCAACAAAACTCCATTATAGATTTAAAAAAAAAAAAGCAATGCTTTTTTAATGGACAAATCAGGAGAAATCATCAACATTCAGTCTCAGCTGCAGTAACACCATTAATGATGACATACCTTGCAAATCTTTGGACTACTACCCAATATTTTCACACTGAGGAGATTTGCAATTACTGAATTTGTTAATGTTTACCCTGTAAGTATGCCACTGTAACTGAGAAACACTCAAAAACTTATCCCATTCCAGTAAGTATCTGAGGTGACAAATCACTTCTGTTAGGAAATACAGTCTCTTCTGGAGAAGCCTGTGTAGTTTTTCAGACACTGAATGCCTTTCTTCACTTAATAAAGAATTCACATAGACTAATGTCCCATAAAGGCTTATCCTGAGTTACTAGAATGCAGCTTCTAGGAAGTCTGTCTCTAAACCAGAAGCTGAGAACTGGGCCTAGGAGCTCCTTACTCTATAAACTGGCATTCCACTATCCACACTATTTTTACTGTATTCTCTGCAATGTAAGCAGAACTGGCCTTGCAAAGTAGGTATGCTACAGCACACTGCTGTAGAGTTTCCTGATTTCAACTGATTTCTGCTCAACTAACTGAGATGTCTGATCCAAAAACCAAATTTGACAGATACGAACTCCACCTGACAAAACAAGCATGGAAGTAGATGATTGCTTTTTGACTAACCTGTTCACAGATTACAGGGGTAAAAATCCTTTCTTGAAGGAAAATACAGCTTTAAGACCAGGCTGAATGTCCAGCAAATAATTTCATATTGCCAGTCATGCTGAAATAAAAAACTGTTTTCTTGAAGACCAAAACAAAAGAAACACTCTGGGGAGCAACGAAAGCTCAAAAACCTTTACAGGAGGACAGTCAGATAACAACTGGAACCACATCAGAGGATATTACCCCATGGTTCATGACTAGCAGATCTGGTTTCTCCTCCAATTCTAAAAGCAGGCTAAGGTCTTCCTTTTAATAAAGGCTTATATGGCAGTAAAATGAAGACTAGATCCATTAGTTATAAACTGGGAGACAGATATAAAAAGAATCCTTCAAATTACATTTTCAACAAGCTCTTGAAAACCATTAAATATCTAGGATTCATAGAGCAAAACAAATCAGGTTTTTATCATTTTCTTAAGTAATTACACAAATCAGTATTTCTTACAAGAAAGCAAGCTTTCTAGGGGGTTGCTTTTTTCTATCATCAGCGTCTTGGCTAAGGTAAGTAGAGTTCAGTTTTATGAACCTCTATTCTAGAAACAGTCTATCCTTGTATTGCTTCCACATTTTATGCCTATCTTTGAATAAGCTGTAATGTCCTCTATCAACTATTTAGTTTTTATATTTCATCATTTCTGAAAAGCAACAAAAGATACTAAGAACATGAATTGCTTTTTTTTCTAGTTAGTGTTACAAAGCAATGAAAGAGAGAGTTGAAATCTTTCTTCTGCATCAGCAGATCATTTAATAAATTCCAGTGCAGTTACAGTTGTGCAACCCTATTAAACACAATGGAGTTATAGGGGCATGACCAGAGGCTTAATTTGGCTACCAGTATTTTTCTTACTCATGCTAGAGTATAAAAAGGAGAGTACCCAGCCTGACAGGAGAAAAATGCCTCTTTTAACCTCCTTGAAGGTACTTGCTATGGAAGCATATGTTTTCTGAGACACCACTAGTACATGAACATAACAGAGCTCAAATTCTATTGACTGATGCAGTGCCAAGCAAACTTTCTAGTTGTATAAGCCACTTTTCGACATCAGAATAGACTTGTATCTATCATGCAGGAGTGTACAGTTCTATACTGCCTCAAGTTCTGAATTTAGTCCACATAAATAGCGATTCTTGCACATAGGGAGCACATTCAATGATTTCTGAATGAATCACTTAACACACTACACATACTGGAAATCCAACATTTGCCGAGGTTTCAGCTATCCAGTATCTATGCCAAAAGAATACACTGTTCATGCACACTCCTATTTGGCTTCTGTAGTGCAGTGAGAAGCACCTCAGTAACCATGGAACCACTGGCTATCACCTTACCTGGCAATTTCCCCTTATATGTTCAGTATCAAATCATAACATAACAGGGAGAGACTAGCAGGATTTCAAGAGCTTAGTGGACTGCAACTGCATTCACGTTTTTGACAGGCCAGAGATTGATAATATCCAATGCAGATCTATGCATGTATATGGGGAAAATACTCCTGTATCTCATAGAAGTTGTTTCTGAACGAACAAGTATGTATTTTGACAGCTGGCAACTAGGGCAAGGAGAAGTTGCCTACATGCTTCTTGTGCATCTAGAGAAAGGTGAGATGCAAATTGAACCTACATATACTTATCAATAGCCCATAGTTCAATCACCAGCTATGGTTCCACAAGGAGAAACCAAGCAAATTTCAATATAATTTCCATTAGTACTTAAACACATGATATATCAGCTATTCAACTTCAGATATTCCATCAGTCTTAGCTCATGGTAAGATGACATACCCATCATGTCTACTTTTCTTAGCAGATAAATCATCTCCTGCTGCAGGTCTCCTCTTTTTCCTTGGAGGCATCACTTTACTAAAGCAGTCTGATGAACTGCAAGACCGAAGACTTCCTACAGAGGGAATTAAAAACACCAGCACAAAGAAATGAAACTGTTGCAGACCAGTTAAACTGTGTCCACTAATAGGCATATTACAAAGGGAAGGAAAGGAAGTTAGGGGATTTAAAAATTATAAGAGAAATTGTCTCCTTTTAATAGCAAAATCCATCTCACTTTTACATGGTATTCTATGACCAGATTCCCATTAAGGTCAAAAGTACTACACCAAAATGTACAGTAGCACTAGCATTACTTCAGTCTAACAGCAGTCAGTCAAGAACTGACACTATCCTGAAGAAGTATTTAGGTCCTCAAAAAGTCATCCTTATTTTCAGTCATTTATTCAAATCACAGCTTCTAAGAGTTGATCATTGCTTTTTGAAATACAGATGTGAGTGAACCTCTAGAAAAAAGAACCCTTTCTTTTCAAGCCCCAAGTTTTTTGTGATACAGAGAGCAAGAGGTAGGAAAGGTTTTGTTTGTTCTTTGGTGAGAGGTTTTTTTACAGGTTTGTTTTTGTTTTTTCATTTTGCAGGGATAGGAAGAGACATTCAGCAACTACCAGGGGAAAAAAGTAAGTGGCTGGCTGTATTATTTGAACTGAATAGTTCTCAAAAAATGAGGTCCCCAAGTAGGAAATAGCCAATTCAACACACTGATGCCAATCAGGTGTCAGTCTTTCCATCCCCTTCTCTCAGCTACATACTCCTATGTCTCTGGTAACTCTTCAGTGTGCCAATCCAGCTCACCAAACCTGTAGATCATTAACCAAAGGAAAAAAAGAGTAACAACTTTCTGTACATTAGCACAAGAAAGAGCACAGGACCAGCCCTTTAGACCACAGCAAATCATTAAATTGCTTTTGCTGTCTCATGAAAACATGACTAGCACTCTGGGCAAAATTTTGTCCTACTTTTGTATGCTGAAGACCACACTGACACCTGAGAAAGCTGTGTGTAAGAGCAGCTCAAAGAGCTATCACAGCTCTGTTACACAGAGAATCTGAAAAGAAGAGAGAAGTGAGGTATAAAAATCCAAACACAAAGTGATGTAAAAGAAATTTGCAAGAAAACATTAAGAACTCCAGCATTCCTAAGCTAGCTTCTCTTTGCTACAACAGCATCCAGGTTTAGCTCTGCTCAATTAAGATGCCCACAAAATCTTTTATCTTACATCACAGCACAGAAGCAAGCAATAAAATTTTGACTGCTTTTTGACACCAAGGGAACAGACTGAAATCAGAGGCCCAATTCCCAACAAATACTAACAGTGATCTTTTGCTTACCTATTCTTCGAATCTTTGAAAGGCTCTCTCCTGTTATAGGAGAAACACATGTAAGGAACCTTACAGCCTCACAGGCTTTGCTACATGTACGTTATTTCAAACATGCATGGAAACTCTTACATATAAGCACATATTTCTCTAATATTATGTAAGACGTTCAACCCAATTCTTACATCAAGATGAACTAATCTGGTTTCAACTAATAAAGCTTTTGTGCTAAATATGCCTTCTTTGGTCTGAATTTTATATTAATTTCTATGTATTAAGAAGAAAATTTAATCTCTCTAGTTCAAGAAACACTCTCCAATTCAAAAAATTCTTCCTATATATTTTTTTTTTTTAACCCTAAAGCACTCTCCCCATTACTGTCCTTGGAAAGTATGGCCATACACTGTCTTTTTGAAAGAGAATTAAGAGCACTGTAAATTCAAAATTATAATTTAACAAGTCATCAAAAAAACTTACAAGTATTATACTCCATAAACTATTACCACAAAAAAAATCGTAATGGTTGTGTCTGAAGAACATACTTCTAGAAGCACTGCCCAGAATGCATTACAAAATGAAATTAATGACAATAGTATTTATTTTCTTCTCAAAAATATCAAATATATTTGAAACAGATAAGCCAGAGACCATAAAAAACTAACAGTACACCCAATGCATTTTACAAATTAAACAAACTAAGGAACCTGACCTGCTGAACATCATTTGTTCCATCTGATTATGCCTACACATTAATGATACTGAAAAAAACAGTATTCTCATAAGTTACTGAACCTATGACAGTTTATCTTTTAGATCAAATTTCTAAAGACTCTGCCAGTAAGTATTTTTTGAAAGCCTACACAGACTAAAAACACTTAAGATGACAGAAGAACTTAACAGATGGCTAGAAAGAGCCAACAGACTTAAGACACACACTGAACTTCATAAATGAAAACGTGATAGTGAATAACTCTTTTTGGAAAATATGCATTTACTTGAGTATAACCTGTAGCTATCTCATTCCTTTGAGAGCAAATGGATTGTTTTTAATTGCCTTTCTTTTAAAAAAGTAAAAATCCATTTGTGATGGCCACAGGCTTTGGCTGCTGGTAAAACGCAAGAATAAAAAAACACACATCCCCCTCAGCCCCAACAAATTTGTGCAATTTATTGGTCTGTTGAATATGATAAGAAATATGCAAGGCCTCTGTCAAAAAAGAAGCACAGCAAAAGACAAAAATAAAATAAATGAAAGTAAAATAAAACAGTTATAGAATAGAGAAATCATTTTGTCAGACCTGCAACCCCATACAAACCAAAGAATTTAACTCAAGAATTCCTGCTTTGATTCTTTGCCTCCTTAAATGATAGGATATTTTTAAGATCGGTGAACTTGTTGTAAAGTTTTAAACTGATCACAGAATTCACTACAATCCAATTTCTCCAATGAAAAACTTGTACCCTTTTTGGTTTGAATGTATCTAGTTGCAGCTCTCAAACTGACAGAAAGGGGAAGAAAAGAGACAGCTCAGAAATTGGAAAGTGGCTATTAAATGCACACATACACTGCCCTCACACACTGACAGCACACAGACACCAGGTGGACAAACATATTGTAAATGCTTTCAGAGACATAGTATCTTAATAACTGAGGTTAGGAGCAAGTCTTCACTAGGCTTTAGCTGTTGAATACTACTAAAAACTAGTAAACTAAACTACTAAAAACACAGGGTAAGGATTTTAAAACATTTCAAAGCATTTATTTTGCTACTAAAATTGGTGTATTAAATTTGAAGGGCAGTCATAATTTCTGTGTAATAGCAACAGAATATTTCTTTCATTTTCATATAAAGCTAAAAATTATCAGTTAGGGTTTTTTTTTAGTTTGAACTCCAGCAATTTCTTAATTTACAATACAAATCACTAAGTAGCAATATTAACCTTTCCTACATAGAGCTTTCTAATTCTAAATCTAATTTCTAGGTCTAGCAGTGCACAACTGATTTCACTTCCCAAAGGTCTATCTGCAAACAAATATGCAGCTACCTCTGACTACATGCAAATTTGACAGAATTTTACTTACCAAGTGCAGCTTTGCTGATGTGATTATCTTCAAAGTTTCTCACTCCTAGGCCTCAACTCAAGACTGACAGAACCCTCCTAATTCTCACTGGTTTTTTGACACTTGAAGCTAGCATTTGCAAGATAGAGCCTCCAAATGGCTACTGAAGAGACCACCACCAGCCAAAAGTCTGCCGAGTTTAAATGCTGTTTGCCAAACATCCTATTCAATACTTCCAAATTTGCAGGAGACAAAGCTTCCAAAGGGAAGTATCAATTCAAGAGCTAAAATTCACCCTAGGAAATTTAAAACAATATACAAAATAAAACCCACAGGAGAAGGGCAGTCCTAGAATAGCAACAAAACCAGAATAAACAAAAGAAAAAAAAGTCAGTAAAGAAGAGCTCTACAAGCTGTGTCCCTACAGAAATGATTTACAGGCATGGAATTTTCACCCTCTCTAGATAAAGCCTGTGAGGAATCCTGCTCTTCTGATGCTTCAGTAGAAGGATGCTTCAAAGGAAAAATAATTAGAAACTGTGAATGCTGAAGCAATTGGGAAGATTTAGCTGCTCAGTTAATAATGCAACAAAACGACCACAAGCACTGTTAACAATCATCAATTTTCAGACACAAGATGAGAAAACTAAGATACTCATCAAAACATTGAACAACCTGTAATCCTGTTGCAAAAGGAAAAAATCACCTTCTGTGTTGAATTCCACACTACAGAATTGCTCTGGACTCATAAAGGTTTCTTCTGTAATATAACAGAAGAAAACAGCAGAGGCAAAAGCAATTTCTCCCCCTCCAAAACATCAAGAACAGCAATGAAGCCTTTTTTTTGTTGAAGATATTACCTCACTGTTTTAAACAAGCCAGGTTGACAACAGGAAGCATAATTTTAAAGACTTCTCAGTCTGGATAAGTAAATCACAATTTAATTACCAAATCATGACTTTAAGCTATAAACAACCTGCTAGATCTGTAGTTACGACATAAAAACAACCATGTTTTCAAATGTGAGTTTTCCAAATTAATGCATATACATACTAAAAGAAAAATAAATTGTTTACAGAATCTGAATGCCTGCTGTTTTTACACCTACAAACAGGTGAAAAGGCAAAGGCCCATGACATATTTGAAGTCTATTGTATTTTTCAGATAGATACGCATACTGAACAACAGTACATGTAATCATTGTAGGGGACTGGAATTTTGAAACAAGATCAATCTTAGCTCTCAAATCACTGAAGGAATTTTGAAACTACCATTTCCCTATAGCTATTTGATGTTCTAAGGCCTTGTTTCAGAAAGGAAGTTTGGCTAATAGTTAGAAAAGATACAATTTGCTTCAAGTAATTTAAATGTCTAACACATTTTTTGTTAGCTTAGAAACATCTGCTTTGAAGTAAATGAAATATGCATTTAAAAGTTAATATTATTAATAAATATTTACCTAAAACTAAGATTTTTTTAAATAGCTTTTAGAAATCTCAACCAAATTTAGATAAGCATGTATTAAGTTATCCCCAAAAAAAAGTCCACAATGTAATGACAATAATGTAGGAAATGACAATTATGTAGGAAAATGAACAGCAATCTTTAAGAATAAGGCCTAGGCCAGAAGATTCGGTGTTAAATACTTTCATAACTACAAAAAAACTTTATATGAGCTTGGCAACACTCAAACCTTTTGCAATGGTTCTTAACCTGATTTTCAAATGAGTTCTAGTCACAGAAGCTCAAATTCACAGCACTTATGCAGTTCTATAAATTGTGTAACAAAATTAATAGGTCTTGACAACTTCTTACTGAGAAGCAGAAGTTCCAAAAGTTTAGGCACATCGAAATCAAACAATTTGCAAAAGTAACTCTTCATAGATTCACGTGAGTCCCTCCACGTAAATGTTTCATAAGTGTCAAGTCCCATACAAAACAGAAACAGAAGAGCCCACTGCACTACATTCACAATGGCCAAAATACCTCCTTGCATGTTTATTTGTCCTCATATGAGTCAAATCAAACACACATTTCAACTGAGCATGCCTGAAACTTATGCAAATATTTGGGCTTCACCTCTTCTTAAAAGAAGACATAAAATATGACAGGAACATAAGCAATAGTGGAAATAATATATGAAGATGAGGAGGGAACCTGGCATTATCAACCTCTGCTTTGGTTCTCATTTCATATTTATTTCTGGTTTGAAAGGTTCTTTTACAATTATTGCAAAAAATTACACTCTTTAATGGGATTTTGTGCCCCAACTCATTCAACAGGCATGTTTAAACTTTTGAAATAGCTTAATTCAAACAACACAATGCAGGCAATAGGATACCATCTGTGTCAGTATAAAACTGTTCATCAAAGCTAGTAACATGCTCAAGCACCTTCTAATAGAGATAATGAGAGTGCCAAGGCTAATTTCTTGTACTTTATGGCAGAAGTGCTAGGCAAGACAAATTCCAAATAACTCAAGTACATCAACACTTACTGATTAGTGAGAGAAGGGGACTACCTCAATGCTTCACAACAGGTCTCGGTGATTAAGAGTAAACATTTTCATACATGAAATCAGTATGTAGCTGTTTAGTTTATAGCACCTGGGTCACATAGGAGAAAATTCCAAGTCTCCATCATGAGATGACAGAAAACAACAGTTCTAAAATATGGACATCAAAATCCCTGTCTTGATCTGTCAGAACCTCTTTTTCTGAGGCTTTTAATTTGCATGATGAGCTAATTTCAAGTATCAAGTCACTAACCACAGCAAACAAAAGTATTTCAGAGAAGCTTTTTGTGGCTGGGGTAAGAGTTCAAGCATGAAACAGTCACCTTTTGCTGTACAGAGGAGGGTGCATAATCTCTAACTGAGCTCTGTCCAATCCCAAGCAATGCAGTCCTGTACATCTCTCATTACTCCAGGCTAAGAGTGTGCTAGATTTCTACACGTGTGCCAGAAATTTCCAGGAGGAGCTGACAGCTCTCTCCACTTTCCTAAATGCTCAAGGTAACATCAGCAAATATAGCCTTCACCTCAGGATAGTGATAAAGCTGTGAGTTAGACAGTAGGACAGACATGGTCAGTTATAAAGAATAGATCTGCTGAGTGAATGACCAGGGCTTGAAGCCAGTAAATTATTTCCCTCCCTCCTCAGGTATCATGCCTGAAACACAGAAAGGAAAGAAGAAAAATAAATCAAGGAAACTGCCAGCTCACAAGTAAAAGTGCAAAAGGAGGTAACAACTCTTGCAAAACATCAAGTCACAAAGCTCAAATGCTGACAAATCAAGAATGGCGGGAACCTGGTACCAGGCGACTGAGAAGAAGGCCTCAAAAAATTATGACATCTCATTGAACAAAACACAGATGTGAGCTTATAAACAGATACTACTCAGACACTGACTGAAAATCTGCACAAGAAACAGAAATAACCTGCATTAGAATCAGTCAGGAAAAAAGCTGGTTGTTTGGAGCACAGCATTTAAACTCGGTCACAGGCATCACAACAGCCAGAAGACATCTTGCATCTGTTCTGCTCTTACTAAAGCTCTTTCAAGACTCAAAATACTGTAAGAACATGGATATACTGTGGCCCAACAGGTTGAGACCCAGGAGTGAGAGAAGTTTTTCATTAAGTCTTCTAAACTAAGAGATAGTAAATTACAGATACTGCTGAAACCTGTTCAAGTCCTTCATAAATGAATAAATTAAAAGCACAAATACCCATTTTGAAAAAAAAACCAACAAATTAAGCCTGGCACTTGCTTCCTAAAATTCCTTTAGTCCTCTAAAACATCATTTTCAGTTACATTAGAGAGACTTGTTTAATAAATTACATTTAAATTGTTTCAATCTCTTTTTACTGCATCCCTATTAAATACCTGTCTGGTGATCGTCTTGACCAACGTCCTCTGTCAGATTCTGCAAGAAACAGGAATGATGCAGTTAACCAAAATGGTGATCTTTATTCTTCTGTACTAGTTTTAATTTTACTTGACATTAATATTCATCCTAACTACTTAAGGATCATCTATGATTGCAGTCTTTGTATTTTCAGCTCATATTTACCTAAAAAGTTAGCCTTGCAAATTTACCTAAAAAGTTCAAGTAAACTGAATTTGGTATTTTTGAGTTTTTTTCAATCAAAAACATATCAAACTTTTTCAGAGTGGAAGTAACTACCCATTAGCTGGGGAGCTGGCATTATTGTATTGAACAATCCCACCAATAAATGCAGCATTAGAAAGACTGCATTTACCATTTAGCACAGAAATGGCTTTGCTTTAGGATAAACACACATGTTCTAAAGGAAACTGATTAAAAAAAACCCTGAAATCTTGGAAACAAGTTACCCCCTTCCACAGGCAGGGTCTTTTCCACTAAATTTGCAGTGTACACACAGAAGCTGAATCACCTTTCCCAGATACGGTTGCAATAAAACAAATGTAAATGTGCAACACATAAGTAGAATGAGTCTTTAAAAAAACCTTCTTTCACTTTTTGCATGGATGTAAGAGGACAATCAGTATGTTTCCAGAAGAACTGTAGGAAACTGGGTAACTATGATGATTATCATCACTTAATCCCTAATTGTATCCAAGAAAGCTGCTTGTAGGGAGGCAACATCTAAATCCAACATTCAAACAAAGCTCAAACTCCACTCTGACCTCTGGAGTATAATCTTTCACCTTTCACTTATACTGCTTATCTCTTCACCAATTGAAACCCAACAGCCTTTCATACAACAAGGCAGTTATAATTTTTAGAAGTGTAATCACTTAATGATTTCAATCATTAAATATTCTGGACCAAAGCCCTAGCTATTCTACTAAGAGAAAATGGCAAGTCATTACCAGCCTATTGAGGGTGTGGTAAATCTTGTGAATATTTGCCAGTGTTGATAGATGAGAATTCAGTTGAAAATCTAGAGGGGGGGGAAAAGAAAAAGATTTTAAACTTCTGGTTTCCAGATGCAGCAGTCATGACCTTCCTATATTCTGGCTATTTAATAAAATTATCACAAAACTATAAAATAAAAGTCATCTCAATACTTTTTCAGCACTGACATTTTCAACACTTGAGTAGAATAACTGAAATCTGCAAAAAGATATCCTACATATGCATTTTTCTTAAGGCATGGATGACCCTCAGTAGAAGTACAGCCAACTATAGCTGAATAAAAAAAAAATACAACTTTTTTTTCCTTTACTTTGGGAATCATTATAACTTACATGTTACCCAGTCCTTCTGTTTAATCTATTCCAAAACCAAGTACCATGGAACATTCTAAAATCATTAATAAAAATCCTAATTCTTAAAAAATCTGATTTTATTAATACGCATGTACTCGCCTTTACACTAATTTCCCTGCAAAAATAAGTGACTAGAATATACTTGCACATTTGAAACATAGCTTTTTAATAAGAAACCAAAGGTCACAATGCAGCAGCTGTGAAGACAAAAGCCAAAAATCCTGATAATAAAATATTCTGACACTTCTTGAAAGAAGCCATAGCATGGATGTTAATTTTTGCTTCCACGCTCCAAATATAAAACACTTGAGTTTGCTTCATTTGCTAAAGAGCAACAAACTAATTTTTCTCTATTCTTTTCAATTCCCTATTTTTGCTAGGAATGTGGCAAGAACAAAACTGGAAAGTAAGTAATTTACAAAAGAACAGCTGAGATCCAGCCAGACAGCAGGCAAACCAAGAAGAATCTCAGAATCTGAACACAAACCAGTCGAGAGGGTTTAAAGACAGCCAACTACTGTAGAGCATCTCCATTCAAACTAAAAATAAATTAGCTACCACACTAGAACTCCTGTGCCAAAACACTCTAGAGAAATATACCGTATTCTAAGCAAACCTCTTCTCTACGTGAAAAGCTTCTGCATGTGCCTAGTGTCACTACCCAGCTAATGCACTAAAGCATTTCTAATGAGACATATAATTTGGCTTTGCCCAGGAGCTGATGCAAGATGCAAGTAAGGTCAAAAGCATAATTCCCTTATTTCCATCCAGAGCATTTCAAAGAAGTGCTCTCAAGATACATTTAAGACAACCCAGATAAACAAGAGTCATCATTAAACATCCGACTGCCAAGTCAGTGAAACACACTGCTATGAAGTTAACAAGTTGATCTGAAAAACTGCCTGCTCTAAGTGTATTTGTTACACACATCACTGTGGAATTCTCTTGTCACAGTGAATTAAAAAAAAAAATAATCAAAAGATACTTTTAGGAATCATACATTTCATTCATTATGTTAGCCAGCAGATCATTTAATTAATTGCTACCTATTTCTTAACATGCTGTCCCCAATCCACCGCAGCAATACAATTGCTCTAAGTCAGAAGTACCAGAGATGGAATTTCCAATTTTAGCTAACCTTATATACACAAAGATCATCCAAATCCTCTTACCAAGCTACAATAGGAAGGCCTTGAACCTTGAACAAGGTGCTAGAGTTTTTCCTGTGTTAAGTGCTCAATAAAGCCCCATTTTTGCTAGTCCAACAATACTAAGCAGAACTATTCTGCATGAAAAAAATAATCCTGAGTTTCTTAGCCACATTAATAGATAAGACTTGATTTGTTAACTGGTAGATCAGACTAAACTTTCTGGAATATGAATTTTACAGTTTCCCTTGTTGCTTAGCCTGAAATCTACGAAGAACATAAGTCATTAGAGAAACCAGAAGTATCTAGAGGTAAGAAGCTGAGAACACTAAGCAAATATTTATTTATTCTAATCCAATATTAACTTTAGATAGCACTCTTAAAAATGTTAGAAAAATATTCTAAAATTACAAATATATATATAGGTATCACCTTTGAAACAAAACATTCCTAGGCACTTTAAAACAGTTCATGCCAGTATGTTGTACATGTCCACTGGAAATATCCATACAATTTTAAGCTGCTGCTTCAGAAAGAGGTTACATAATTATGATGGACTTAGCAGGATTATACACATATATTTTCCAGTTATTATACAAGAAATATCACACCATACACAGTATGAATATAGAGGACCGGAGTCCAATGTTTTCTTTCTTTCAAGGAGGAGCTTGCACAGTGTAGGGATATTACCTAAAACTGAAAACAGGTTTCTTCCACAGTTATAAAAGCAAATGCAAGCAGCATCCATTAAATCAGGGAAGTTAAATTACAGCTCAAGTTATTCTCTAAATTGGTCAGTGGGTCAATGATTGCTTTATTTATTTTTCAAGAATAATACACAAAGTATCCTATGCCACTGTGAAAAAGCCTATTTTGAAAAAATTTTTTTTTAGAAACAAAATCCAAAAAATAACACCTCCCATGCTCAAATAATACTATCTGGGAAATTAGCAAAAATAGCACTGATCAACAGTGGTCAAGATGGCAAGTAGTTGGACAGCTAGCTGCAACTGTATTCTTCAGGAACACACTCTCTCCCTTCCACCTCCCAAATTTTCCACACATGCTTACACAGCCTCCAAAATTATGCCTGCTGATCCCCTTGGTCAGCCCACTACACTTGGGATCTTATCCACAAAATAAATAAACAAACAAACCCTGCCGGCCCAGTGCTCTGAATCAGATCACCAAGGAGCTGCAACACCAACTGAGTTAGAGGAAGAAACAGGAAAGGTCTTCTGAAGTGGGAGCACAACAGTCTCTTGTGGCAGCAGCAATGTGTTGTGTTAATCCACCCATCCATCCCAGCGCCACTAGGAGAGGAGCGATACATCACATGAAGCTACACACTCAACAGCCAGTTGTATGAGCTTTACATGAATAACACCATCATGTGTGAAGCTGGTTTTCACCTGAAGACAAGAGTTTCAAAGCACGTGAATTGGTCGGAATTTTTTTTTCCTACAGAAACTGCAACCAGCTCTGGGGCCCTCAGCACAGGAAAGACATGGACCTGCTGGAGCAAGGTCACAAAGGCAACTGGAGGAATGGAACACCTCTCCTATGAAAAAAGGCTGAGAGCTAGGGTTGTTCAGTGGGGAGAACAAAAGACTCGAGAGAGGTCGTTTAGCACTTTAAGTGCACTTAGAGTACTTGAAGGGGACTTTCAAGAAAGAGAGAGGGACCTTCCAGAAGAGCACACAGTGACAGGACAAGGAGGAATGGCTTCAAACTGAGAGTAGGTTTAGATTAGATATTAATAAGAAATTCTTACTGTGAGGGTAAAAACCTTGGCAGAGGTTGCCCAAAGAAGCTGTGGCTGCCCTAAGCCTGAAGTGTGATGCTGGATGGGGCTCTGAGCAACCTGGTCATGGTGGAAGATATCCATGCCCATGGCAGGGGCATTGGAGCTAGATTATCTTTCAGGTCTATTCCAATTCAAGCCCATTCTACGATTCTGACATACCACACAGTTTATTGACCTCAATTCAGAAGAAGGAAACCTGCTTCTTTTATAAATACTGAAAGATGATATGTGGAAAGCTTGCTATGACTTTAAGGGTGTATGTCAAACAAGCATACATATTTTGTTGATTAAACTATTTTTCATGCAGAAGGTAGCTGATCTTCAGTGAGGTCTGAAGCAATGAAAATTCCATATGGTATTAAAACACTTTGCAGTAATTCAGAATGTAATGGCTAAAAAAAAAAAAAAGAAAGAGTACCTGCCTGAACAAAATCTTTAACTTAGTTGCTGCTGTGGAAATTTAAAGCTTGGACAAAACACACTACAGAGTACAGTACAAGCTATTAAAAACCTAGTAAAAAATTAACAATAGTAGTAAACAAGAGATCAGCTGACTCCAAGTTTCCTTTAAAAGCTTCTCATTTTTTTAAGCAAATTGAAAACCTGTACAAAATCTCACTTTAACAGTAAGTCTAAAAAAAGTTATCCTTAATAGATATGCTATATATACAATATTAAAATTTAAATATAGAAAATAGCAGTAGTAATAACATAATAGTAATTCTTATTGCTGCTTAGATACACTGGTAAACTCAGAAAAAAAATAAGAGAAAACACACATCAGGAAAAATCATACCTAAAAATTAAAATAGCATGCTTAGGCAATTTAATTGCTTTCCTTGCTTTCAAGTAATAGAGCTAGGAAAAAACTTGTAGTAGTACTGGCAGTAATAGTTTGAAGTTCTGTTGCCTTCTTTAGCTTTAAATAAACTTTACTTGTTCAAAAAAGAATAATTTGATATTCTATGAAATATACTATTTTATGTTCTGTATTCTACTTACATAATTACATAATTATCCTAACAGCAATACAATTTATATTGATGAATTGATTAATAAACTTAGAAGTTCAGATCTGAAACCTACATTTGTTGAAAGCCTTCAACACTTACATTCAGAAAGCAAAGTTTTTGTATTCATTACTAAATACAGAAGGCAAAAGAAAAACATACATCAGTCTTATTTACACAAAAAACTTAACAACACATCTGAAGACTGAGAACCCCAAACTTCAGCACAGAGAAGAGCTGACTCTGAATTCCTGTTAAAGGCAGGATTAAAAATCTATTTTCAATGTGTCTGAAGCTGTATCCCTGCAGGCCGTGACATCCTATACCAGGGCCAACCTGCAGAAGAATCCTTTCCCCCAGTCCATCATGTGAAAACAAGCCTTGGGTGAAGGGAGGCAGAGAACAGGCTGGAAAAGCAGGCTCTCTCTTGATTTGGTGTGGTCAAATAAAGGGCATGATTCAGAAAGTAAGGAAAACAGAAGTGAATTCCAGCTTGGAAAGTAAGGACATGCAATTAGATGGGACGACCCAATCTATGTCGAGGAGCGTCGAGGAGCATCAGGACCTAGCCATTAAAGCTAAAGACACAACACTGCAGAATGTTTCTCCTGCCCACCTGCACACAGAACTGCACCAAGCTCAGAGCTACTGCTGACACTGGTGGTATCCAAAACCCACAGTTGAAAATCTGTGTACATTTTCCAAACACAACAGCGTAAAATGTTCTGAAGCAAAACACAGATTGACTTAAGCTAGTAAATAAAAAACCCTACAGAAAGCCCAAACCCAAGCAACAAAATATAGTAGGAGTTACTACATGCACTTCAAAATCATTTAAAGGTAAACATTCAGATTCAACTCTTAACATTTGGTATTACTGCTCAGAATGACTACTGCAACAAAATATCTTAAGATCGCTGCATGCTACATAGATAGGAAAAAAACATAATTCTTTTTTGCTCCCACAGGAACAAATCTTTATTCTACCTAGGTGTTTCAGGAGTACCCTAATCTGAAGACTTGTTTACAAAAAGAGCCACAGCAGTTTAAAGTCAATTTAGAATTTCAGAGCAATTTAAGCACTGCAAAATTTGTGTAACTGCTACTTGAGTTTGAATACATTTCCATTTACCTTAAATTGATTGAACTAATAAGAGCTAGGCTCATTCTCCTATACTAACACACAGGATAAAATACTCTGCACAACTGGCTCATGGCCGGATTTGGGTTTGCTTGGGTAGGGATGATTTTGGTTAGGTGTTTGGTGCTATATAGCAAAGACCTAACACAAAGTGGGTTTCTGGTGCAAAACATCGGATTCTGTTGATGAAAAGTGTTCATCCAGTCTAACACTTATTCCACCATCAGATTAATTCAAACAAGTGCCAGTGAGCTAGTTTTGCATCATTAGCTGCCTTGACCTGAGAGCTGTTTGCAAGCATTACTCTTAACTTCATGCTCAGTGTCATCTGGCATCCTACAAAGGCCATAAAGCTAATGCAAACGTTTTACCTTGTGCTCTAGCTAATTCAGCAGAAACGCAACCCTGTCAAAACACACACTACTGGGGTATCCAGCACCATGCACATCTGGTATGCATCACGATGGAGCTGCAACAGCCTATGAACAGCTATGCCAGTCAAAAGCATTACAGTCCCAGCTGCTTGCTTCTTCCTCCCAAAATCTACTGACCCCACAGCTCTGCCAGCCATGGCCACTTCAGACAAGGAATCGGTTTAGACAACTTAAGCAAGAGCTAACCCAGGTACATTTATTTGACTGAGTGGATTAGACAGTGCTCCTACAAACCACTCTACCAACAGAGCAATTGAAGCAGTAATCTACAGCTAATGAGCAATAATGAGTATCTGCAGCAAACAGTCCCACAGTCTACGCAGCCACACATCGGCATCAAGTATGTGACACCAATCAGTTCCCCAGGACAAGCTAAAGCCTTGTAGCTCTAAATATATATATATATATGTATCTATGTATATAACCATCTATATACACATAATTTTACATTTAAATACACACGCCCCTCATGAATGAGCTGTTAGTGTTTCTATCTCTTTCTGAGCCAAAAGTAATAATTCTGTTTAACGTCAGATCATTATTCTAAATAAATCAATTTAATTGGACAGTACAACAAAAATGCTGGCACATTTAAATTAAGGGTTCTGCTTCAAGCCTCTGTTAGTAGTCTTACTTACTGTATAAGAAATAACCACACTATTAAATGCTCTAATATTTAAATTGCATACAAGAGTTGAACACTTTCACAGGATGTACTGTACTTCCTAGTGCTATGCTTTTTGGCAAGCACAAGACAGACAAATTAAGCAAGTTATCTTCTTCTGCTTGAAGACACAAACAAAACTAGGAACCAATGCTTTGAGAAAACCCAGTCTTTGCTTTCAATACCTGCAAAGAAAGTGTGGGAGGAGGGAAATTAAAGAAAACACAGGATTAATAATTCACTAAGAGCACAAAAAGTACTCAGACAAAAATAAATTTAAATAAAGTGCTGCAATTACACAAGTAAGAGTTCACCCTGTTAAAACAGAATGAAGAAAAGCAGTAAGAAAACATTTTACCTGCCTAATTCAACCTACTGCATAGTCTTGTACAGAGAAGCTTTTCCAATTACAGCTGCAACAAACTTTTAAGCAAACATCTTCAAAAGAAAAAAGGAAAGTTGATTTCCTCGTATAATGTGAAAAATGTGTATTCAGAAAATAAAACTGAGACTGAACAAAAATGTATTAATGGAGTTTGTATCATAAGAACAGATGAAGATCTAAGAACAATCAAAAAGGTGGCTCAAAAATAAACCTTCAGTCTGCCATAGAGGCTGCCATAACCCAGCTTCTGTATGGGCAAAGCTATGCTATAAACACTTCTTGCTTCAAGCATTTAGATCAATGAAAAAAACCCTACCACTACGAAGCTACAGATAATGAAATTAGCTAATTTAGGGAAACATAGGTATTTAAAATAACAGACATTCAAGCAAAAAAAAAATAAATACAAATTTGAGGTGTAAGATTTGATCACTCCACAGCACATTTTTAATGAAAAGCCAGTAACACCGAATGCTGAGGAAGAATAATCTTCCTATTTTCTGCAGACAAGTTAGAATTCTTAAAAAAATTTAAATCACTACGGAGTCTGAACATCCTACAAGAGGGAGCCTTAGAATATTTGTAACTGTAACTCACACGTGTATATAATGAGGACCTGCATTTTTTTTTTGGACAGGGCACATGACAAAAGACACTGAACAGAAGGCATGTCCTAGAATAATTACCCTTCTATTTCTAATATGAGACAATTATTTTTGCTTTAATGGCAGCATTTACCACCAACACATAATGATCCTTAAATGTAAATGTAAAATAAACCAGAACCACTAAAAAATTATATAATCTTATGAGTTAGAGCCTTCACCAGGCTGCCCCTCTACAACATCTCATTTTGAGAGACACATAAGGATTCAAGAAAATCCAGGCATTATGCAGCATTTCTTCCCACCACTGCTTTCAGGACTTTGTCCAAAAGTGAGACCATCATTAATTAACGCACGACCAAAGCATCAATTTTCATTATCTTTCCCACAACCACAAGCAAGTTCTACAGTA